CTCTTTGGCTGTGTTGAAGTGCAATGTTTCGCGTCTCGCCCACCTATCTGCGTTGCTACATTTTCGAGGCGCGGAGACGGGAAGCAGAGCACGTTTTCTCTGCACGAGATGAAACGATTAGAAAGACGCCCCCAGTTTGTTTGGAGGGATGCGACTGAATGCGACATCAACGCCAGGGGCAAATTGTTGAAGTAAGCGCACCCGGAATCAACCGCGGTGAAATACAGAGCGCGAGCTCTTGGAGAGCAGGTTCGAAAGGGAGCTTTTTGGAGAATGTCAATGCAGCGTATCACGAAAAGCCACAAGAGCGATGTGCGCGCTTCAGCGGGAAAGTTTTTCAACCGGTGCAGGAAAAAACGCGACGAACGCTGGACACCCGCGCAAGAGAAGCGAGATGCGTCGCAGGAAGGAAGGTGCTTGGATTGGGTGCGGGGAGAGGCTTCGCCTAGCAGTGGAGTGATCATGAGCGACGATGACAGCGAACGCGTCGGCTGTTGCCACAGACACGCATCAGTTGGCGATGCTGCTGCGTTGGAAGCGGTGCACAACCACAATCATTAACAACACCTGCAACACAACAACACATTGGTCAATAACAACAGTGCGTGACCTTAAAATAAAAACACGTGTCATAGGCAGCATACATGATTGATGTGCTATGATGTAGGGCCAATACCCGAAACGTCGCCCATTATAAGTTTCGTTGTAAGGCCACACTGTTATTGAATGTGATTGATTGTTGTTGTTTTACATATACAGCAAAGACAAAAAGACAAAGATCCCCCGTATAGCCTTAACATACTGTTGGGGCAAGTGCTGTTAGCTAGCACCTATGAAGGCCGGCACGGCACACGAGGGGGTGGATGACCAGCACCACGCCCGGCTGCCTTTGTCTCCCCAGTGGCGACGTTTACACACCACTGCACCAGGTACTCATTTTAGGCTGAGTCGACCTAGATGGTGACCCAGCACCGGTTCAGATAATCGTCACTGATGTTGGCCGTGATTTGGAATCGAACTCGAGTCACCGGGTTCGTAGCGCAGCACGCTAACCGCTGCGCCACCGCTCCCCACACATTGCACGGCGTACCAATACCAATACCACGACATTCGTCACAAAGCGACGGTGACGTCACCACGGCGCCCGTGCCAGGCCTGGTGCACTTTGAGCGTACACGCACACACCGACGCAAACTCGTGTTGTCTGTCGCCTCCTCGTGGAGAACTCAGCAATGACGGCTCCCCCCCCCCCCGTTCCACCCGCACCCCTCCCTCTCCTCTCCACCGACTACTCCGCCAGTGGCCACTGCGCGTCGCTTGAACCCCGTGCGTGGCTCCTGGGGCCACGTGCCCTCGAGAGGAACCCCGCGGAGCAATTACATCACTCGGGCCGTGCGTCCGTCCGTCCGTCTGCGTCAGTTGGCGAGGATTGATTCATCAAGCGAGTCCGACGAGACGCCGGGAAGATCAGCACCGTTTCTACAAGCAGTGCTGCTGGAACTACGATGCCCTCTGTGCGCCTCCGATGAGCACGGTTGGCTACGTGCGGTGCGAAAGAAGTTCCACGTACTCTCTCCCGGAAGGGCGATGGGTCGTATAAGAAATATACTTTTATTATTTTTCTCACGTGGAGAGGTGGATATGTCGAGGCGTATTTGTTTTGAAATATTTTCCCCAGCGATCATTTTGAATCACAGGTCTGCGTGTGGCGCTCTGTTCCGCTACAATGTCCGACTATACACGTGGGTAAATACATCTGCAAAAGCTTCTTTGAGATAAGGGGCCGTCCATAAATGACGTCACGCACCTAGGGGGGGGCGGGTCAGACATTTGTGACGATGTGTGACGAGGGTAGGGGGTTGAGAAATGTGACGTCACATCAAAATGCGCAACTTTAAATAAATATAGACAACACGTTCTACTTAATTAAATATACTTTTTAATAAATGTTTTCTCCGACAACATCAGAGTGCAGCGCCACATTAAATACGCACTACAATGTCAATAGTTTAAAGCGATTTGAAGCATGTTTTATATTTTCGGTGAGGGGGCAGAGCTTTGTAACGTCATTTTTAAGGGGGGGTCTGACTTTTTGTGACGCCGTGTGACGAGGGTGGTGGTCAAAAATCGTCCAAAATCGCGTGACGTCATTTATGGACGGACCCTAACATCATGGGGTCTGTAATAATATAACTTGAATACGAATAAACACAAACAACCGAAGGAATTTCTATATTTGTTGTCAAAAGTATGTTAATAAAATGTTTTATGGGTCCCAGCCAGTGATTCGTAACGCACGTGATGTAATGGCTTCTTCATGTTACATCGCAGTTGGATTCCTATGAAGTCACCCTGCGTAACTATGACGCACGGACAACGCTACGATGTTTAAAGTGTAGAGATAACCTCCTCCAGCAGAGGACGCCAGAACTCTGGCCCAGGAGATATACACCGCTGGGAAATAGTTTTGATTCACCGTGTAACAAAAAATGTGTTCCTGGGTAGTAAGTGTCATTTCCTAATTGCTTATGCCTGAAAAGTACAGAAAACGGCGATTATTCCCCACAAACTTTGCTTTTGTGACCAGGACAGTGCTATTTTGAAATGTTCCTATTTGCAATGAGAAAACGTGGTGTGCATTTGTGTATTTCGTTCACGTAAAGTCCTGGTCACAAAAGCAAAGTTTGTAGGGAATAAGAGACATTTTCTATACTTTCTAGGCATAAGCAATAAAAAAAATAACATTTAGTACCCAGGAACAAAAATTGTGTTACATAGTGTATATATATATATATAATTCAATACAATGCAATACAATCGTGCTGCCCCGGGGTTTCATTGTTGACGCATTGGGCTTGCAGTCCAGGGGATGTACCTCTCCGGCACAGCAGTTGATAGTGTGACGCAAATTCATCAAATCTCACTCGCCCCGCCCCCCACCACCCCCCGTGTGATGCGACTCTAGATCTATGCTTTGGCTCTTTTTCTTCTTTGAAATGATGCCGACCCCTACAATCGAGAGACAAAACTCCTCGTGGCCGAGGCCCCTCCACCAGCAGTGACGAGATCGGGATATCGCTGCGACTTTTACGTTCTCAACGTGAAACCTCTCGGGGTGCAGTCACAAGGTGGGAGCATCTTCACGCTCTGCAGAAGGGCAGCCCACCGCTCGCCTTCCTCAAATCCGGCTGCAGCCTTGCCTCTTCTCCACCGCCCATTCCCTCGCCTGGCCCCTTCCCACTCCCTCCCGTCCCTCCCCTATAGCCCTTCCGTGATCCCTGAGTACCCCTCGAATCACCGTCGCTCACTCCGCAACCCTTGCAGCACGCCCCTGCCATCTCAATAATTCGAAACCGTGTTAAGCGCCATGAGCGGAGGCGCTCTACGAATACAAATGAAGATTGTGTACCCGAGTTACAATGTACTGTACGGAGCCTTGTCAATCCACTGCTGGACTAAGATCACCCGACGCTCTGTAGGTCGTGGGGGTTGTTTGGCCATACTTCACCGATGCTGGTCTTGGCCGGTTTGGTGACGAGCGGGGGGCAGGCGGTGGGAGTGATAGGGGAGGGGGGCAGGAGAGGTTCAGATATCACCGACGCTAGCCGCGGCCAGGTGGTGAACTTAGGTCGCCGGGTTCATAGGTGGCCGGGTGGGGCGGAGGGGTGGGGGGCACACGGAGTAGTGGGGTGGGCGAGGAGGAGGAGGAGGAGACGGCGTTCGCTGAGCCCGTACCCGAGTTCCCGTGTTGCAATCCCAAGGCGTGCACTGTGAATGGCACCACGAGCGTTTCGGTCCACTTTGTTCGTTGCCCAGGTTATACGTCACCGAGTCCCGTGACTCTGTTTTTCGTTTTTCAGGAGGGTCCTGCCAACAGCTGGAAGTGACGGGCTTACCGTGTAGATTCCAGTCGAGTTATTCGCGTTGCAAATTGTTTTTCTTCGACATTTGGCAAGCTTGAAGCATGACGCTCACTACGCACACACGCAGTGGCCTAACCCTTGCGAATGTCGTCACGGAATCTTTAACGTCCACTGTGAATGGCGCAAACGGCGCGTAATATTCGTACGGTTAATAGACCCGCGGTATTAATCAAGGCGGCCGCTGGATTCAAAGCGTAAACCTAAAACGAAACTCTTTTTTATGTTACCAGGTAAGGCCCAATGAGCTACGTAGCTCCTTTTCAGAAGCCATCTGGCCACAAATGATAGCCCAACGAAGCTGGCTCATCATCGCGTGGAGATGTACAGCAGCCCAATAATCCAAACGCGTGTTTCTAAATGTGGAGGGAAAACGCGCGGGACCCGGAGAAAAATCTACGCGACCACGGGGCCCTGGGAGACACGCGAACTCCAAATGTACAGCGGGCGTCATGGTCGCGATCGAGAGTCACGATCTCTGCGACCACTCACGCCAACGTCACCAGCCACGAGCCAAGCGTCTCGACGGTGCGGAATTATCCCCGAGAAGACGAGCAACCGAGGAGACGGAGCGATGAGATCAGTTCGTGTTCTGGTGCCGAGTTGATCCTTTAACACGGCAGGATGGCGGCAACTCGAGAACGCGCGGCCATTGGCGTGTTGACTCGTGATCGTTGATGCTGACTCCCGTCATGTTTATCTTGAGAGAAGAAGGCCGGGAGGGGGAGGGGCGGCGGCGGCGAGTGGCAGCAAAGCGTCGATGAGGATCCAATCGCTGCATCCGCCTCTGCATCCTGGTTGCTCTGTTCCGCAAATGCATCAGAGGCAGCGTCCGCCACGTGCGTTGGGAGGTGGGAGGCAGCCGTGGTCTCTGCCCGGTGCTCCACCGCCCCGCCCACTTCCAATCCCGCCCCACCCTCGTACAGGTGTGCGCTGGGAGATGGGGGCGTCTCCGATGCACAGGTGTACGCGTAAGCCAGCCAATCAGCGAGGTGGAGCTCCCCCAAACTCTCACCCCCCCCAACCCTCACCTCCCGTGTCGCTCTACCTGTGCGCCCCGCCTCCCCCGTGGCCCGTACCTCTCGCGCCCCGCGACCAATAGCAGATGCTGAGAGGCATAAAAGTGATCAATCGATATTCTGGGCGAAACTTAACATCAACACGCCTGAGCCGGAACTTGCCGAGTACTCCCGGGCTCAGTAAACACAACGAGTTTAATAAACGTGTAAAAGAAGGGAGGTTTTACTCGCCCCCAAGCAAAACTGAAGTTGTGATCGGGCCCAGTGAAGCGTTGATGGTGACGGTGGCGGAGGTGGTGATGAGAGGACAGACTGCACATGAAACGTGATGTGACCTCGTCAAAGAGAAACCCAGGTGGTTTTCTTTCAACATGGGCAGGGCCTTACTGCCCTTCCTGCCCGGGCCGCTACACAGGCTGCTGCTGCTGCTGCCCAGGCTCGTGCCCCTGCTGATGCTGCTCATTTTGCAGGGCAGCAATGCAGAGAGACCGGAAGAGGTGAGTGCCACGTGGGCTCTGCCGTGAGCTGAGAGTGGGTCAGCGAGGGGCAGTGAGTTGAGGAGTCGGTGAGTGAGCTGAGAGTTGGTGAGTGAGTTGAGGAGTCGATGGGTGAGCTGAGAGTTGGTGAGTGAGTTGAGGAGTTGTTGGGTGAGCTGAGGAGTTGGTGGGTGAGCTGAGGAGTTGGTGAGTGAGCTGAGGGTCGGTGAGTTGAGGGTCGGTGGGTGAGCTGAGAGTTGGTGGGTGAATTGAGAGTCGGTGGGTGAGCTGAGAGTTGGTGGGTGAGTTTAGGAGTCGGTGGGTGAACTGAGAGTTTGTGAGTGAGTTGAGGAGTTGGTGGGTGAGTTGAGGAGTCGGTGAGCGAGCTGAGAGACGGTGAGTGAGTTGAGAGTTTGTGAGTGAGTTGAGAATCGGTTTTGACAGAGTTGATGTGGCAGGCGTGGGACCTGACGCCGATCTCAGACCGCGCTCGCAGTTGCGTGGATGACGTCACGCACGGACGTTGTGTGCCCACCGGCCGTGCCCACAGTGCGTGTCTCTCGTGTCGAGATTTTTAAATGAATTGATGATGATGTTGATGTGGCTGATGAGGGTGATGTTGATGGTGACGATGATCGGAATGATGATGATGGTGGTAGTGGTGGTGGCTGCAGTAGCAATGCCTTTGCTGCTGATGATGATGATGATGGGCATAATGATGATGGTAGTGGTGGTGGTGGCTGCAGTAGCAATGCCTTTGCTGCTGCTGATGATGATGGGCATAATGATGATGGGCATAATGATGATGGTAGTGGTGGTGGTGGCTGCAGTTGCAGTGTCTTTGCTGCTGATGATGATGATGGGCATAATGATGATGATGACGGTAGTGGAAGTGATGATGGTGCTGCTGCTGTTGCTGTTGCTGATCTACAAAAGTAATCGTCATTGTGGATGATGATGATTATAATGATGATGCAATTTCTGATAATGACGAGGATCATGAAGATGCTGGCTAAAATGACGACTGCTATCTATATATCCGCGTGTTTATCCAGCTGGCCTCTGCGAGTCTCAAGACTAATTTTCAAGCGGTGGGGTGGAGGGGGGGGGTCATGTTAAAGTGTTCGCCAATGATGTGGCCTGTCCGCTGTTTTCCAGTCGATAAGAAGTTCCTGAGAGTAAAAGCCCTCTCGCATCTCGTGCCCTCCGCACTCCGCGCGTGCACACACACACAGAGACTCGTTCTCCTTTGTACGAGTGTGCACGTGGGTGGCATTTCTTGTTTGAAATAATATAATCGATTCGCCGGGATCTCGCGTGAAGAGGCATCGCGTCTCGTTGCAGCTCTCGAGCCCTGCCTCGTCGTTCATTTTTTTAGAGGTGCTTTGTTGTGTTTCGTTTGTTGTTGTTGTTGCTGTTGTTCTTCCCTCGGCACCTTCGATTAGCACGGTTGGCTGCGTACGGTGCGAAAGAAGTTCAACATGAGGCACTCCTCTACTTGCAAACATTCGACTTAAGAACTTTCAGAGACACGAACAAAGCTGTCAGTATGTCCAGTTGCCTGTTCGGACCTAGAGGCGTAAGTTCAACCACCGCACAATAAATTGCGGTGGTGGCATCTACATCTGCAGAACGTGAAGAACCAGTGGCATCTCCATCTGCAGGAGATTGTACAACGTGTACAGCTATTCTCCGTGTTTAGTGTACGTATCCTCCATGTTTCGAATCTACAGAAGTAAAGTTTTGACTTACGAACAAATCGTCTTACCGAACTCGTTCGTAAGTAGAGGAGTCCCTGTACATTCATCGTTGAACCGTATTGTTTATCGCGAGTCTTCCACGCCTGCCGCGAGCGGCGGTACGATGGTCGGCGCACAGCGACTTGCGATCCAGAGGATCGCTGCCGCTCAGATTTTGTCGAACCGGTGCGAAAGTTGAAATAAGTGCTGAAGACTTGTCTGAAATCCCGTCTCTGCCCAGCGAGAGCAGTAACACATCATTGGCACAGCGCACAGTTTTCAATTGACGATCGGCGAATCGCGTGCGGTGGGGTAAAGTGTGGGTACTGCCACCTATTCCGTGGAGAGTAAGGCCCCTTACCCTCTCGATTCTGGAGAGTATGTCCAGAGCCCCCCCCCCCCCGCCAGCCTCCACCTAATCGAAATCCCTTTCCCCCGGCTGCAGCGGCGTGAGCGGTAATTGCAGGGCTGCGCCTGTATCTCACATTGGGAGACAGGGAGACAGGGAGGGCTCGGCCAAGCTCTTGTGTGGGTCCTCAGCACGGCTGGCTGTGTGCCCACGAGGCCCTCGCCCCGGGCCACACACACACACCTACGCACACACACACCTACCCATACACACACACACCCACCCACTCACCAACACACCCACACACCCACCCACACACACACCCACACACACCCACACACCCACTCAACCACACACACACCCACACACACCCACTCAACCACACACACCACTCAACCACACACACACCCACACACACACACACCCACACATCCACCCACCCACCCACACACCCACACACCCACACACCCAACCACCCACACACCTACCCACCCACCCAACCACACACCCAACCACACACGCAACCACACACGCGCGCGCGTTGCACATCGCACACCGCACACACTGCTGGCTGAAGCCCTCCTCTCCGCTCTCTTCTGCGCCCTCGGGGCAATTGGGCGGCGCGGTGAGTCGTTACACACGCAGACTCGATAAACCCGTTCCCGAGCAAACACCGAGCCCACCGGAGAGTAAATTAGCAGGGAACAAAAGTGCTGACGGTGAGAGGTGAATTTCTGCTCGCACCGCGGAGTTCGTCTGCACCTAACCCGGACAGCCCCTGTTGGTCGATCCAATTCCTGCAATGAAGGGCATCACCACGCGCAGTACGTGCGGATCGTGGCGGTTAGTGGGTCCGCGTCTACCTGGCTTTGGTATTCCGTTGAAGCTTCTGGGCCACAACCCATGAAACCGAAACCGCAACCGCACACATACCATGGCGGCAGCAGCAGATGCGGATACACCTCAATGGGCATGTCTAGTTGTTGCTGTACGTCGACATCATCCATACGAAGAAGACGGGGATCTATCGATTTACACTGAGACCCATATACTTGCATAGGGACCCATGGACTCACATAGGGACCTATGGACTCGCACAGAGACCCATCGACTCACGCAGCGAGCCATAGTTTCACATAGAGAGCCATATACTCATAGAAAGACCAATAGACTCACGCAGAGAGCCATAGTTTCACACAGAGACCCATAGACTCACGCAGAGAGCCATAGTTTCACACAGAGAGCCATATACTCACACGATGCTCAATACGAAGGAGGCATCAGGACAGCAGTTATCTTGCTCATCAACAGCCTCAATGTAAAGTGACAGCCGCTCTTCAACACTCGACATCAGCCACACGAAGAAGATTCGATCGGTGGCCAGTGCGGCGTCAGTGAAGGCGGGGATCATAGACGCGGTTACATAGAAGTGCAGTACAACAGCTGATTTCTAACCGCGCAGGCCTCTGCTGTAACACAGCCCCTGAAACCGCTCGTGGAACCTCGCGTGCGTTCCGTGGTGCACGTTCCAATTATTTGGTGGTGGTGTTGTTGCTGCTGCTGCGTTGGAAGTGGTGCACGAGTACAGTTAACAATAAACAACTCAACACGTTCCGTGTCAACAACAACAACAACAACATTGTGTGGGCTGGAGAGGAAAAATCGAAATGTATGAAAGGCGATGTTTTGCACTTAATTATGCCCGATAAAGAAGGACGTTGGTCTGAAAGGTCACCTATTATAAGACCGCTGTGTTCTTTGTAATATATATGAACTGGTCCCCGCCATATGAATGTGGACATTCCGCTACTAACTCACGATATGCTAGAAGAGGGGGTTCTCTCTGGAGCAGTTGTTCTCAACCGGGGGTCACGTGGCTGATTCCCGGCGGGGTAACGCGAGGTGATTTACAATCGTGCCAAGTTATATCGTACACGAGAGTCATTGGTGCATCACCGTCTACTAATCTGCCAATATAAAATAACTGCGATACCATTGAAATCCATACGTGAACCTAGAACGAGATAAAAAGGCATTTTTTAAAAACTCATTGATCGTAAACCACGTGGTTTTCATGAGTAACCAATCGAGCGGGAGCAAGTGACCTCGTGCATGCGGTGCCCGTTGCTTTTTTAAATCCTTTATATTAAGTTCGCTTGCTTGCTTACGACCGTGCAAATCTTTCGGTCGTTTTTTTAACCCACTTCCCGTGATCCAATCGAGCTGACATTTTCCACACAGACTCGTTGTGCGTGACAATTAATGTTCGTGAAAAAAAAATTCCAAAATTTTACACTTTAGGACAAAAATATTATATTTAATTACCAATTGCTTAATGGTGCCATGCAATCATCTGACCCATAGGTGGCAGCCATCTCAAGCCAGAGGACGAGAGGACTCTCGCCGCCACGCATATAAAGGATTGATAGTGAAAAACTTTGTTTTTACGGGTTATACGTTTTATTTAATTTGCTCGCAGTTACGAGCTAGTTAGCGTACCTCGTAGCATGGACGATTGGTTAAAGAGTTGAGGGTCATTATTCACACGTTTATTTCTCGGAACCATGTTGGGTCAGGCAAGGGCGGGGGTCACAGTAGCCAAACAAAAGTTTAGAGGCACTTCTCGAGAGCGCCTCTCTCGTGCAGGGCTCTTCCGCCAGCAGTTGCGTGAGCGAGACATTGCAGAGCTGCACCTTTGCCTCTCATCCGTGTTCGCGACCGAGCTGGGTTCATGGATCCATAGTAAAGGCGTTTTTTGGGGGGGTTCGATCGCGTAAATATGAATGTGTCGTTAAACGCGCCACCACCCGACACAGCCAATCAGCGAGGTTTGCCAATTGGTAACTAGTTCAGCACACACCGGTGTGTTGGAGAGTAAACCCACACGCACATTTCGAGTCCGACGTTTCGCTGACGATTACAGAACTGTGAAGAAAGTTAGTGCGTGGGGTCGGTGAAGCCGCAGATTGATTATAATAATTATTATAACTATTGTATTGATTATAATACATATGATTATAATGCATCATACATCTTGACTGTGGATTATACTGGTCGCGAAAGCCTACGCGTGAAATTGGGCGCATCGGTGTAATGATGGTTGATGATGATGGAGTGAGGAGGTTGAGTGTGACGCTGTTGCTGCGTGTCGTTGTTGTTGTCGTTGTTGCGTTGTTGTTGTGTTGTTGTTGTTGTTGACGCCTTCTCTCGGCCTGCGGGTTGGCCCGCTGTGTCCAGGGCGAGTCGCAGGTGTCCGTGGCCGAGGGCCTCGTTTTCGTGGCCACGCTGGACGGTCGCCTGCACGCCGTGAGCCGGGCCACGGGCGACGTCATGTGGGCCCTGCGAGAGGGTGCGTGCTGGGGGGAGTGGGGGAGCAGGAGGGGACGGCCGGGACACCCCATGGGGTATGGGTGGGAGGGTTGGGATCGGGCACGGGGAGGGGCAGTGGCGTCAGCTGTTGAGAGTGCAGGTGGTGAAACCGCGTGGAGTGGGTGAGGGCAACCGGGTGGATAAGATTGGCTATGGGCAACCGGCTAGATATAGTGGATGGGGGCAACCGGGTGGGGCCTACCGGGTGGATAAAGTGTATAGGAGCAACCAGGTGGATAGAGTGGGAGGGGGGCAATCGGGTGGGTATAGTGGGTGGGGCAGGGCAACTGGGGGGGGGAGTGCAATTTGACGTGCTGTTGTGGTGTTCTAGTGTGGAGGGGCCACCGGGTAGTTGGAGTGGGTGGTGGCTCCAGGCTGCTGCGCGGTGGTGGAGTCGAGTCACGGTGGCAGCAGCAGCAGCTGGCAGCAGCTGCTGGCACCAGCTGCTGGCACGACTGAGCGCTAATCACTCGAGCCGGTGGGGATGGATGAGAGGTGACCGCGTGTGTGTCTCCCCGTACCCCTCTGACCCTCCCCTTCTCACCAACCCACTACTCCCCCTCCCCTCGCGCACACACACACACACAGATCCTGTTATTCAAGTGCCAGAGGACTTGACTAAGTAAGTCGTCACCAACCCGTGTGTCGAGCGCGAGCGGCTTTGCGGCTCAAAGGCAGCGCGTGCCACGTGCTTATCGTTGCGCAATCACACGAACGCGTGGCGCTCTGCCTTGGTGCCTGTCCGTGCAGCGCCGTGGAGGCAGCAGCGAGGCTTGGTGGGATCGCCGTAACGTTGCGAAACTCTTCTTGGTTCATCTTCTTGGTTCTTTCGGTAAAGTCACGTAGAATGGAAATAATAAAATAATAAAAATATAACATAATATTTCTATTTTTATTAGTTTATTATTTCCATTCTACGTGACTTTACCGAAAGAAGCAAGAAGATGAATCCCTGCAGTTACGAAAGCTTTAAATCGAAACTCTTCTTGGTTCTTTCGGTAAAGCCACGTAGCAGGGGAATAATGAAATAGTAATAAAAAACATAATAAAATACAATTCTCACGACGTTTCGGCCACCACGCAAGCAGCCGTCCTCAGGTGAAGAACAGGTCTGCCGTGGGTGGGCGTGCGGCTGACATGTGGACTCTGTCCACTCCGTCTGGAAGGTGGGATAGAGCGTTTCGCCCTCGATCGCACGCGTCGGGTTTATCCGGGTGCTCCGGTTTCCTCCCGCGTGTAAACACTCATTAGTGCCGCCACGGTGGCGAAATGTTAAGTGCTTCACCTGCTATTGGACTTGGAGTTTTGGTGGTGGAGTGCTGGCCACCCACTCTCTCGTGTGCCGTGCCGGCCTGAACAGGTGCTCGCTAACAGCACTTGCCCAACAGTCTGTTGAGGCTACACGGGGGATCTTTGTCTTTGTGAGTGTGTGGAGTTTGTATGTTCCCCCCCCCTGTTTTCTGAGTTCGGCTGCCGCAGTCACGAGATGTCATCTCCCTCGCCTGGTATGCAGGAGGCCGTGGGTTCGATCGCAACCCTGACGCCTGCATATTTATTAGTTTGCATGTTCTCCCCGTGGTCATGTGGATCTCTCTCCAGATCCTCTGGCTTTTCCCTCCACATTTAGTAACATGTGTTTATAGTATTTGGCTGCTATACATTTCCAACGTGATAAGCCACTTCGTTGAGCTATCATTTGTGTCCAGGGGGCTTCTGCAAAAGAGCCATACAGCTCTGTGGGTCTTACCTGGTAGAATACAAATGTTAGTATAGTTTGGCCAATAACACGTTAATATGTAGATGACTGCGGGGCTCGCGCCATTGTTCGCAAACATTTCATCGCGTGGCTGCTGCCTTCGTCTGTGGTTCCTCATCGCGCCTCTTGAGTCGTCCTCGCTCGCTCGCTCGCTCGCTCTCTCTCTCTCTCCGAGAGCCATTGAAGACCATGCAGTGTTAACATGCTAAAACACCAAACTGAAACCTTTCACGAGGAATCAAGTCTGCATTAACCGCAATACTCGTGGTCAGAATGCAAACAAAAAACATACCCTGATAATATATGCATTTTGATTTAAAGCTTTCGAGACTGCAGGGATTCATAATCTTGGTTCTTTCGGTAAAGTCACGTAGAAGGGAAATAATAAAATAATATATATATATTGTTTTATATTTATGTTTATATTATTTTAATTCAAATAATAAAATAATATAATATTGTTTTATATTAATATTATTTTATTATTTCCCTTCTACGTGACTTTACCGAAAGAACCAAGAATATAAATATATGCATTGTCTTTTAAACTGATTGGACCACATCAGAGACAGCTTTCTTTCGAGCCTCGTCTCAAACGGTGTTAGACCAGAGGACGCCAAAACGCGACCTCTGGTCCAAAGCGACATTCACACCACTGGGACGCGTCTTACATTTTCCATTCATGGCGGAAATGTGGTGCGGCGTCGGCGTGCTGGCGATGTTCTGATGCGGCTGATGGTTCAGCCAGTGCCTTGGAGGAGGGGTGTCGGGTGTCGAAGCCAGGAGGTGGGATAATGTTTGGGTCTCGAATGACGTGTTTCGTTCTGGACGTCCACGCTGTATGCCATCATGGCCTGAGATGTGTTTATTTGCGTCCACAGACCGGCCTTCCTCCCCGACCCCATGGATGGCACCCTGTACTCCCTGGGAGGGCCAGACAGCGAGGGTTTGGTGGTAAGTTTCACTCCCGATTCTAGGCCATAGTAAACAGGGGGGGGAGCAGACTGTTTGGGCACGTGCTGTTAGCGAGCACCTATGAAGGCTACCATGGTAACACGAGGTGGTCGGCACCACGCCCGGCCGTCTTTGTCTCCCCAATCTTGATATTTACACACGGCACCAGGTACTCATTTGAGGCGGAGTCGACCTGTTGTTGAGTCACAGGGTTCGTTGTGCAGTGCGCTAACCACTGTGCCACCACTCCCCACCGATATGGGGGGACACCCATACCCACACGATCATCGTTTGTGTGTTGAGTTGTTGAGCCAGGCTGGGCCAGGGTTGGGCAAGGACACAGCCCGTCACTTTACTCATAGACTAACATTTCCAATAGACTAAGATTGCCCATAGACTAACATTGCCCATAGACTAACATTGCCCATAGACTAACATTGCCCATAGACTAACATTACCCATAGACTACCATTGCCCACAGACTAACATTGCCCGTAGACTAACATTGCCCATAGACTAACATTGCCCACAGACTAACATTGCCCGTAGACTAACATTGCCCATAGACTAACATTACCCATAGACTAACATTGCCCATAGACTAACATTGCCCGTAGACTAACATTGCCCATAGACTAACATTGCCCATAGACTAACATTGCCCATAGACTAACATTACCCATAGACTAACATTGCCCATAGACTAACACTTCCCATACACTAACATTGCCAATAGACTAACATTGCCCGTAGACTAACATTGCCCATAGACTAACGTTGCAGCTTGTTTGTTGATGATGTATGGAGTTGTTGAGTCCGGCTGGGCCAGGGTTGGGAAAGTGACGCAGCTCCACTACTCTTCACTCAGGTCAACCGGAGAGCACTGACGTAGATATGTCTCGACTTACCACCACCACCACAACAACAACAAACAATTGCATATTTTAAGAAAGCACAATTTATTTAAAATAATATATACAATTAATAATAATAAAAAATTTAAATAAATTAACACGTAAAATCTGACCAATTATTCCCACTCTGAGTGGGCTGGCACTGTCAGGACAGACGTTTGAGGTCACGAGGTGTTGCCCGTGCAGCTGCTGTGGCATTTGGCAGAAGGAAGGAAGCAAAGCTTGAGACACCTGAGAAATAAATAAATAAATAGCCTTCACACACAAACTCCCCCCAGCATCCCCGGCACCCCCCCACCCCCCCACCCCAACCGCTTCAGCGCAGCTGCGCGACGCGGTGTCGTGCAGAGTGTGGGCTGCAGGGGGCGGTGCTGCCCGTGGATTGTTCCCCTGCCCCCTGGCGCTACGAGACGGGGGTGAGGGGGGGGGGGGCTCACAGTGAGGTCGACGCTATGACTAGACGGGGGGTGAGGGGGGGGCTCAGTGAGGTTGACGCTGTGACGAGACGGGGGGTGAGGGGGGGGGGCTCACAGTGAGGTTGACGCTGTGACGAGACGGGGGGTGAGGGGGGGGGGGCTCAGTGAGGTTGACGCTGCAGAGGCGTAGCTAGGGGGGGCAGGGGGGTACATGTGTCCCCGGGCGCCAAGGTAAAGGGGCGCCAAAATTAGGCTTACAACGTCACATTATAACTTATTGCGGCGGGCGCGGCAGCCTGAAACTACTGCACAAATCTACACCTCAACCTAAAAGTTTATATATCCCGCCACACACGCGTGCCTATTAAGAACTTACATGGAAGAACGTCCCAAACAACAGACAGGCGCAGTCTTTCAGCCTTAGTCACACTGGCCTGTTTTTTGGTGGCGGAAACTACGACGGCCTATTTGTATCTTCTTGGTTCTTTCGGTAAAGTCACGTAGAAGGGAAGTAATAAAATAATAAAAATAAAACATAATAAAACAATTCTCACGACGTTTCGGCCACAACGCAAGCAGCCGTCCTCAGGTGAAAACCAGGTCCGTCGAGGCGACAGAGTCTGAATGTAGTTTTTATTAGTGACACCACCACCCTCCAGGCGGCTGCAGCAGCCGGAGCATCCCACGCACGTCAACATAGCGTGGCCTTCATTTAGCAGCATTTACTACAAGGCTCACTTATACGTGTACGTCGCTCGTACCTTATATTTGAACTGACCTAAGAGCCGAGCCATGCTCGCTGGCGGACACTAAGTGAGAGTGTTACTGTGTTAGCTAGACCACCGCGCCACGACTACAAGCCACCGGACGAGCGTCAACCTCGGCGAGTAAGTCTATGATGCCGTTACATGGCCGCGTACGACCGACAGTAGAAGCTTATAGGCGGTGGCGTCCAAAGCGGCGACCTACTTGAACAACAAGAGGTATGTTTTATGATATTTGTTGATAAATACATTTAAAAAAAATTTTTTATATAGAATACAATTTATTATATCGATATTTTTTATATCTGCAGCATAATCTGCCTTTAAGCGTATAAATTATGTACTTTTAATCTGCATGTATAGCCTAATTATTATAATTATTAGTTATTGTAGTAGCACTATGCCAGTACCACTATGTTATTGTCTAGGCCTACACATATTTTTTCCACTTCAGTGTACTCCGTGATATAATAATATATTTATAGTTTTTGTCAGCCATCTCAGGAAGAAAACGAAGTGGAGCTCAATGTCGTAAAAGACATAAAGCTGAAATGGCATCAAAAAAGTCAAGTACATTACTGGCTAGATTTTTAAAGAAAGCCAAGAAGAAATAAGCTGAAGCTGCAAACTTCAACTCTTCAGAATCAGAAGATGGCGGCTATCAACCACCTATTTCAGAGTATGTAAACGAGAAGGTTGAAGACATTGAGGACTCGGAGAAAAACATGGTTCAGACAGATGTTACTGTCTATGCTGAGGAAGACTCCGAAAACACTGAAGACCAGGGCGTCGTCGTTGAACAGGTTCAACATGATGATAAACTTGTTGACAGTAACGGGGAAGATGAGATAGAAGAATCTTCTGATTGAGAAGCTGAAAATACTAATTATGATGCTGTTCCTGCTGTACTAAGGTTTCGATGTTGGCTACTTAGAATTTGATAAAACGACAAAGCTATCGAAAATAGCCTCTTCGCAATGAAATGATTACTCTCGGATCCTTGCCTTTTCAGCACAGAGACAATCTATCATCAGTATCCAGAGAACGTTCAATTACATCAGCATGGTTTCAACGCCGACTAGCGAAAGGAGAGGAAGTGAATCGTTCGTGGCTATTATATTCACCAATCAATAAAGCTGCTTACTGTTTCTGTTGTCTATTATTTACATCATCGAGTTCAAACTCACGAGCTTCGTTTGAGTTAACAAACGGTTTCAACAAGTGGAGAAAGCCTGAAAAACTAAATTCTCATGAAAACAATTCTAGCCACCGCACAGCTTTTGCTACATGGAAGGAAGCCGAACGAAGGATAATTGATGGTACTGGAATTGACGCAGTGGTTCAAGCTCAGATTCATTTGGAAAAACAACGTTGGCGAGATATATTGCAAAGAATACTCACCTGTATTAAGTTTTTGGTTTCACAAAATTTGGCACTACGTGGCCATGAGGAAAATTTGAATGCGGATGAGGATAAAAATGTTGGAAACTTTCTCGCGCTGATCAAACTCGTTGCTCAGTGTGACCCATTGTTAGCAAAACACGTACAGCACGCAGGAGAAAATCCGGGATCAGTTTCTTATTTGTCACCAGAAATCCAGAATGAATGTATCCACATACTTGCGTCGACTGTAAAGAACCAATTGTTGAGTGATATCAGGAAAAACAAGTACTACGGTATCTTACTTGACTCAACTCCTGATCTAGGACATCGGGAACAGCTTCCTCAGGTCAAAAGATTTGTGGATGTGGATTTTCAAATTAAAAAAAGTAACTATCAAAGAATAAGTTTTAGGTTATATTGAGATACATGCAAAAGATGCAGCAAGCCTAGAAAGAGTCATCGTCGAGAGACTGAAATCTGACAACATACCTCTAGCCGACTGTCGGGCACAATGTTATGACAATGCTGCTGTGATGACTGGGCATATATCCGGCCTTCAACAACGAATATGTGACAAAAATCACAGAGCATTGTTTGTCAAATGTGACAACCACAGCTTAAACTTAGCAGGAGTACACTCAGCTAAACAGGATCCACTTGTCGTCACATTTTTTTGGAACAGTTGAAAGTATATATTTGTTTTTCTCTCGTTCGTTGGGAAGAGTTAAAAAAAAGCTGTGCCCATCACAGTTAAACGGGAGTCTGAAACACGCTGGAGTGCACGATCAGAAGCTGTTAAAGTTATCTATGAAGGACTGGATGAACTAGTAGGGCTGCTAGACAAATTATCGGAGGATGTAACTATGACGCCTGAAACCAGAAGTGATGCAGAACAGTTACAGGCATGCGTATTAAATTTTAACTTCATAGTTTTATTACATTTCTGGAATGTCATTCTTGGAAAAATTGATCGTGTTCAGAAGCGCTTACAGGATCCTACTATGAATTTCAAGGAAGCAGCAGCTGATCTTGAATCTTTGGAGCATGAATTTGTCAAGCTTCGTGATGATTTGAGCCAAGTTTCTGTAGAAAACGCCAAAACAAGATGCACAGCCTGGGGGATCGATGTGGACAGAAGAATTAGGCGACGTCGGAAGATGCCAGGAGAACTGGCAAGAGATGCAGGACTTTCAGTAGAAGAAGAAATTGTGCGCGTTATGAAGAGCGTATTTTATTGACTTCAACAGGAGATGTCAACACGGTTTTTACGACTAAAAGACCTGAACACAAAATTGGGATTTCTGCTGGACGTCAAAACTCTTCTATCCAACACAGATGTCGATGCAATTCGTCGAAATTGCACAGATTTTGGAAATTTCTATGACACCGACATCAATGGCCACGAACTTTTCACAAAAATTGGAGATTGCAAAATGCTGCTCAGTAACCGGAATGAAGTTTTACCAGAAACTCCTTTGGATCTTCTTGGTTTTATTGTGTTTTATGGAGACGACATATTTCCGAAATTGCGAATTTCACTGCAAATTTTAATAACAATAGCAGTTTCAATTGCAAGCTGTGAGCGGTCGTTCAGCAAATTGAAACTTATTTTGTCGCATTTGCGTGCTTCAATGGGACAAGATCGTCTCAGCGATCTTGCTCTTCTTAGCGTTGAAAGAGAAACATTGGATAAAAACAGATTTTGATTACGCGATTGATCAGTTTGTGACAGTGAAATCAAGAAAAATATTTTTTTGTAGACTATGTCAACCAGTCTACGACAGTGACTGAGTGAGCCATGTAATATAATTTCTATAAATTTGCTTCTTTAAATACAATGTTTCATTAACATTTAAATTGTTATTCCTTATTCGATGTAATAGGAAAATGTGAATAAACGGGGGGGGCGCCAATTTTATAGTTCGTCCCCGGGCGCAAAATATCCTAGCTACGCCTCTGTGACGCTGTGACGAGCCTCACGAACGAGGTGTCAGTGACGTTCCCAATCGCAGCTCACGGTGCAATCTGACGACATCCCAGTGTGAGACCGGCATGTGTGTGTGTGTGTGGTCCCCCACGCCCCCCGTGTCCGATGCCCCGTGTCTCACGTCTTGCGTCTCACAGAAACTGCCCTTCACCATCCCGGAGCTGGTTCACGCCTCTCCGTGTCGCACGTCCGACGGGGTCTTATACACAGGTATGCGGAGCCCCGCCACCCCCCTACCTACCCCCGGTGTCCCCCCAGTGTCCCCCTGGTGTCCCCCTGGTATCCCCTTGGTGTCCCCAGGCTCACTCCAAACCCCAGACACCAATCGCACCTTTGACCCCAACACCCTCCTTCAGCCTCAACTCTTAACGCCGCACCGAGCCTTGTGTCTAACAGCCCAATCAATAACAACAACCCCGACGCTAACCAACACAAGCGCCCTAGCGCTCATACTAAACCCCCCCCCCCCCCCCACAACCAGTACCAACTACAAACTGTGGCCCTGAATGTAACCCTAACTACGACTCTAACCGTGGTTCCGCAGGTATAATGCAGGACCTGTGGTCCTTGCAAGCTTTTAACCCTGGCCCTGATTCCAATCCTACCCCACAAATTAAACCATGACCCCCAGACCCTGACCCGGACTATGACCCCCCAACCCTAAACTCGACCCTCACCCCGCAGGTAAGAAGCAGAATGTGGTCCTTACTGACCTTGCCGAAAATGAACCACAATACCTTGCTGATCTCGTCAAGAAGCATCAAAACTCCAGTCGTCTTCGCAACGGGTTTTTGGCTAACCATCGATCAAAGACGGTGGTCACCGCATCGCGCGCCTTCAGATGCGCCTCTGCGGCCGTCTGGAACGCTCTTCCTTCCGATATTGGGAAGCTACCGGAGTTACGCACTTTTAAATCACGTGGATTAAAAACGAATTTGTTAAGCTTTGTGTTTAGATTTTTGACCTTCCCCCGACACCTCCGATTAGTACGGTGGGCTACGTACGGTGCGAAAGAAGTTTCACGTACATACATACATACAACCTTGACCCTGACCCCGCAGGTAAGAAGCAGGACCTGTGGATCGCTGTGGACCCCATCACGGGACAGAAGATGCAGACTCTGAGCACCGCCTTCTCGAACGGGGTCCACCCCTCCCCACGCCTCATCTACATCGGCCGCACAGGTAAGCGGCGGGCGGGGGGATGTACGTACTGTACGCTGAACTTCATTCGCACCGTACGTAGCCAACCGTGCTAATCGGAGTTGGCGTGGTGGCGGTGGGCAAACAAAATAAACACGCGAAAAGCAGTTGTCGAGAAATGAATGTCAATCTAGACGATTGAAAAGTGCACAGCTCCAAGTGGCTTCCTAATACCGTAAGCAAGAGCGTTCCAGACGGCCAGAAGCGCACCTGAAAGTGCGATGCGATTCGGTGACCGGGCCTTGAGCAGTAAGCCGTAAGGGATCGTGGGTGGGTTGCCTGTCTTATGAGGTAGTTGGGGGGGGGCCCTGGAGAATAATTTGTGGTGGGGGGAGGGGCTGGTGAGGGGGGTGGCTGTCGGCGTGCTTCTGAAAGGGGTTTGTTGGAGTGAGTGGGGGGGGGCATAGGAAACGGATCATCAGTGGTGCATGGATACGCATTGTTTGGGGTGCCTGGGTATGAGGTCGGCGGGGGGGCTATAGAAAATGTTGTGAGGTGGTGCTGGGGGGGTGGGCGGCTTTCAAGAACTCGTGACGGGGGTTGCCACCCCCTCCTTTGAGTGTCCACGCTCTGGAGCCGCTCACGCCGAGAGCCAATTAAGCACCGGGCACTCTTCGATGAAGGCGCAGTGATCCCAACACGATGTGGCAGCCAATCCCCAGCGTCTCCCACCTGGGGGCAATCAGCCCCTCCCCCCACCAGCTCCTCCCCCACCAGCCCCTCCCCCCACCAGCCCCTCCCCTACCAGCCCCTCCCCCCACCAGACCCTCCCCCCACCAGCCCCTCCCCTACCAGACCCTCCCCCGCCTACCTCGTCCCCCACCAACCCCTCCCCTACCAGCCCATCCCCCCACCAGCCCCTCATCTACCAGCCCCTCCCCCCACCAGCCCCTCCCCTACTAGCCCCTCCCCTACCAGACCCTCCTCCGCCTACCTCGTCCCCCACCAGCCCCTCCCCCCACCAGACTCTCCCCCACCAGCCCCTCCCCCCACCAGACCCTCCCCCCACCAGCCCCTCCCCTACCACACCCTCCCCGCCTACCTCGTCCCCCACCAGCCCCTCCCCCCACAAGCCCCACCCCTATCCAGCCGCGCCCCTCTCCAACCCCTTTCCCTCCCAGCCCCGCCCCCACTACCGCCCCCACCACGAGCCCCTCCCCTCGCCCCTCACCCCACAGCCTCCACATCTCCCACTTGCCTCCAGCTCCCCCTCCTGACGAGTGTCAGTGAGCTTCGATTGAGCAGGCGGTGCGGTCAGCACCGCACGCGGCTGCCTTCGTCAGCCCAGTGTACACACACCTGTACACACACCTGCACATACACCTGTACACACCTGTACACACACACACCTGTGTCTTCATGTCCCCCCAGTGTACACACACCTGTGCGACTTCACGTGTCCCCAGTATACACACACCTGTACACACACCTGTACACACACCTGTACACACACCTGTACACACACACCTGTGTCTTCATGTCCCCCCAGTGTACACACACCTGTGCGTCTTCACGTGTCCCCAGTGTACACACACCTGTTCACACACCTGTACACACCTGTGTGTCTTCATGTCCCCCCAGTGTACACACACCTGTGTATCATCACGTGTCCTCAGTGTACACACACCTGTACACACACCTGTACACACACCTGTACACACACCTGTGTGTCTTCATGTCCCCCCAGTGTGGACACACCTGTGTATCATCACGTGTCCTCAGTGTACACACACCTGTACACACCTGTACACACACCTGTACACACACCTGTGTATCTTCACGTCTCCCCAGTGTACACCATCACCATGTTCGACACCAAGGCGGGCGAGCTGCGCTGGAACGTCACCTACTACGACTACTCGGCAGCGCGACTGGGGCCCGACTCGGACTACAGTAACGTTACTCTCATTTCTATTGTCATGGCAGTAGAGCCTGCGTGCGGTGTGAGTGGACTAGTGGCAACGGGAGGTACTGACAGGGGAGTCAGCCTGCAGTACGAGTGCACTAGTGGCCACGGGAGGTACTGACAGGGGAGTCAGCCTGCAGTACGAGTGCACTAGTGGCCACGGGAGGTAATGAACGGGGAGTCAGCTGTGAGTGCGAAGGGACCGTTGGCTACGGGAATGATCGTAAAGGGAGCGTAGTCAGGCGACGGAAGAGGACGGAGGAGTCTGCCGGTAGAGGGAGCGTCCAGAGTCAGCGAGAAGGTTCCGGAAGGGGGGCGTGGCCTGGGTCGGTATATAAGGGGGAGATGCGCGGGAGGCGCGGGAGACTCGGGGCTGTTGTGGTGGGGGTCTCCGCCTGATGTCAAGTGAACGCGTCTTCAATGAAGGGCCATCTCAAGAGAAGTGTGTGTCAAGTCGTCATCACACTATCAACCAATCGCCTGTTGTGAATTTAAACATAACGGGTGGAGTTGATGGCCACTGAGTAGGGGTTGGGTGGGTGGTCCTCCGGTGGGGTGAGTGGCGTGGGGGGAGAGTGGTGGGGGGCAAGGTAAGGGAAGGGGGTAAAGTGAGATATTTTTTAAGTGTGACTAAAGTTACTCCTCCAAGCAAGACTGGGACCCACTGCTGATGAGACACTGAGCGTCAAAACCGGTCCAGAGTTTTCGCTTGTTTTGAAGCAATGCTGTGAAGAGTATGCACTCTCAGAAGGCCGTGTGGAAGGATGAGCCGTGACCCCCCCCCCCCACCTTCCCCCCCCCCCCCGCACTCCCCCCATCCCGGTGCCCCAGAGTTGTCGCATTTCTCCGCGAGCGGCGAGGGGCTGCTGGTGACCGTGGGGGGCGAGGGTCCCACGTCCGTGATGTGGGCGCGCGACCTGGGCTCCCCCGTGGTGGGGGTGTACACGTGGGGGGCCGACGGGGTCCTGCGCAAGGCCCCCCTCTCCACCCTGGCGGCGGACACGCTGCGCTACCTCTCGGTATCCGCGGCGGGCGCCGGCGGGCGCTACACCCTGCCCTCGCACGACCCCGCGCTCAAGACTAAGCTGCGGTGAGCGTGGGACGAGTGTGGAGCGAGTGTGCTGCGAGTGTGTGGTGAGTGTGTGGCAGAGTCGTCAGCAGGCTGTGCTAGGAACCCGGCGACCCGCGTTCAATTCCTACTGATGGCCAACCCTGGTGATGAATAACTGAATTGAACCCGGGCCTTTCTTAGGTCGACTCAGCCTTAAATAAGGACCTGGTGCATTGTGGAAATGTCAGAATTGGGGAGATGAAGGCAGCCGGGCTTGGCGCTGGCTACCCACCACCCCTTTCATGCGCCGTGCCAGCTGCTTGCTACTCCAGCGCTCACCTGATCAGTCTGTGCAGGCTATGGGAGGGGGGCGGTTGTGGATCTTGGTGTCTTGTGTTACCGTGTCGTTGTTTTACCGTCCCATTCTTTCACTGTGCTGTTGCGACAGCCGCACGCTGTACGTGGGCCGCTACTCCACGAGCCTGTACGCGTCGCACTCCCTGGTTCACGATGGCGTCTCCGTGATGGTGAGTCGCTCAACACAACGCGAACCACAACTCTCACCACAACGCTGACCACAACGCTCACCACAACGCAAACCACAACTCTCACCACAACGCTAAACACAACGCTAAACACAATGCTAAACACAACGCGAACCACAACGCGAACCACAACTCTCACCACAAAGCTCACCACAACGCTAAACACAACGCGAACCACAACTCTCACCACAACTCTCACCACAACGCTCACCACAACGCTAATCACCACCACTGACCGCCGCACTTGCACGAATATGAACACTAACAGCGATACTTCACACGACCACTCACAATTAATCCTCACCGCTACACTCACTGCAACCACCATCACTGACGATCACTAATATGAACACCACCTGCAGGCCTAACAATAACATTACCTTCACTTCAAATCAAACTTGATCCCCAATCCTGCATTGAACACTCGCGCTAACCTGAACACACTAAGCCTAAGCTCCAGCCTTAACACGAACACAAACTGGAGCAACCCAGCCTAAACCCTAAACACGTCCACTGAAAATAACGCCCCCGTAGCCCTGAACACTAAATACTAAAACTAAACGCTAAACCCTACCCGAATGCTAACCCCAATCCCTAACCCGAATATCCCCCAACCCTAAATCTCAACTCTTAACCCTCAACCCCAAACAAAACCAACAGTGGCCGCTTGGGGCCGCTCTCGTACAAACAGGCAAACGAGTGAGATGTTCAAAACCGCTGCCTGGCCACAACGGAAGCTGCACTTTAAACGGTGACCCCTGTGCCCTCTATTGATGTGGGGGGAGTGAGAAGGGGGGGGGGCAGGGAGCAATTGACCAATTGACCATGGAGCACTGCCGAATGGTCAACTGGGCAGTGCTCCATTGTCCACTTAACCCGCGGTGCCTCTCAGTGACGGCGATGGAGGGGCACGAGCAGTCGCGGGAGCGGTGGGGGGTGACAGTGGGGAGTGATGGCGGGGGGGGGGGAGCAGTGGGGAGTGATGGTGGGGGGAGCAGTGGGGGGTGACGGTGGGGGGGGGGAGCAGTGGGGGGTGACGGTGGGGGGGGGGGGAGCGGTGGGGAGTGACGGTGGGGGGGGGGAGTAGTGGGGAGTGACGGTGGGGAGGGGAGCGGTGGGGAGTGACGGTGGGGGGGGGGGGGGAGCGGTGGGGGGTGACGGTGGGGGGGGGGGTGGCAGTGGCCAACATCATTGCCCCCCATATCTGATCCGGTCCTAGGTCTCATTGCCACCGGGGGCGCAATTGCTGGCCACCCAACCCCTCATGTGCCACGCAGCCATGCCGCCCTTCATGGGTGCTGCTCGCTACCAAAACACTTGCCCCAAAACACTTGCCCCGGGGGGGGGGGGGGGCTCCTTGTGCCTCTTTAACGTGCGACGACCGCTCCCCTGCCCCCCTTGTGGACTCCGTGTGCCCGCGTGCTCCCAGCCGAGGGGCCAGGCCATGCCGCTCATCGAAGGGCCGACCACCAAGGATGTGACGATGAACGAGGCGGGCCACGCGTGCGAGATGAACCCCCGCACGCAGGTGCAGTACGCCGAGCGCCGGGCGGACGCGGACGCGGCCGGCGAGGGCTCCCAGCCCGCCCGGGGCGCCGCGCACGGCAGCTTCCTGCAGCAGCGGTGGCTGCTACTGGGTACGGCCCGAGGCGTGTGTGCCTCCGTCAGGTTCTCGCCAAAGCACTTGTCTCAACACTCTGTTAAGGCTATAGGGAGAGCTTTGTATCACATTTGTCCACGTGCGTGTGCGTGCGCGCCGTTCGCTTATTGTGCGACGAACCCGGCGACCTGTGTTCGATTCCCGCTCACGGCCAAGAGCGGGGAGACGGTGCTGCCCCCCACCCCCGCCCCCCGCACCGCCGATTATCACGGTTGGCTACGTACTTTGTGAAAGAAGTTCAACACTCGTACGTACACACACACACACGTACGTAGCCAGCGGTGCCAATCGGAATTGTCCATGGTCCAGCGCGCCGCCACGCGAGCGAGAGGGCTGCACGTGACACACACCACGTGGATCCTGGTGCCCCCTCTCACCACCCTCCCCGCCCCCCTTGCTGTGCCCCCCCTCCCCCAACCCACTGCCCTCAGGGCACCACGAGCTCCCGCCCCAAGCTCACACGACCCTCCTGAACATTCACATGCCCGCGGCCTCTGCTGACCACCGGCTTCTGCAGGAGGTACTTGTGAGATCCACTGTGCGTGTGTGGTTAGGTGGGTGAGTGTCTTTAGGTGTGTGTGTGGGAGTGTGTGGGTGTGTGTGTGGGTGTGTGTGGGTGTGGTTAGGTGGGTGAGTGTCTTTAGGTGTGTGGGTGGGAGTGTGTGGGAGTGTGTGGGTGTGTGTGGTTAGGTGGGTGAGTGTCTTTAGGTGTGTGGGTGTGAGTGTGGTGTGTGTGGGTGTGTGTGGGTGTGTGCATCTCTACAGAGGCAAGTCCACTCAGCTCCACATCCTCCTGTACCACATCAGGCCATCTCATCGAGAGCCCGTGCCGTGCCCGTTTAGCCCCCCCCCCCCACCCCCTCTATCTGGCCGAACGGAAGCTGCTTGCGATGGCTTGGCATGTGGAGGAGTCCCTTGAAGGACACCATTTTGGGTAGTTGGAGTAGGTCGCCCTCCAACAACTATAAAGGGCAGAGGAGCAACGCTCACAACAACGATCGGAGCGCCGGGCAACTAAAATGGCACAGCAGGGAGCACAGGTGCTGCATCTGCCAGTCATCTCAGTCAGTCAACCGATGGCACTTGGGTCTGGTACATGACCTCCTTAATGCGGCCTCATAGTGAACCTAGCCTGGCACAAACACTGTGGTGATGTCACCCCTGGCAGCTGTTGTTGTGTGTGCGGGGAGCGGTGGACCGCGCTACGAACCTCACAGTCAACAACAGTGACGGTTACCTTAATAGGTCCTGGGCCTCCCCTAGGTCGACTCAGCCTCAAGTGAGTACCTGATGCGATGTGTAAATATCGCCACTGGAGAGACAAAGGCGTCCGGGCGTGGTGCTGGCCCCCCAGCCCCTCGTGGGGCGTGCCGGCCTTCACCGGTGCTGCTCGCTAACAGCACTTGCCCCAACAGTCTGTTAAGGCTACACGGGGGGGGGGGATCTTTGTCTTTGTCGTGGAAGTTGTCGCACTGCGCTACGAACCCAACACCCTCCACCCCCCTCCCACCCTCGTTCCCCCCCGTGCGACCCTAACCTCCCGTCCCCCGTCACCGGCCCCGGGTCAGCGCGTCACGGTGATGGACCCGGCGGCCACGGAGCGGCTCACCACGACGATCCTGCGGCGGGCCGAGCGCGAGGCCCAGGGGGCTTCCGCCACGGTGACGGCGGCGGTGACGCACGGCGCCGGCGAGGCGGCTGCCAGGGACACGGCGGTGCTCGCCGTCGGCACGCTGCTCCTCGCCGGGGTCATCGCCCTCGCGCTCGCCGCTCACTCCAAGGTCGCCGTGACGACGGTCGCCGGGTCGAGGGGGGTGGGGGGTGGGGGGCGCGGGGCGGGGTGTGTCGTGGGGAGGGGGTCAGGCGGGGTCGGGGAGGTCAGGTGGGGGACATCGATTTTTATTTTGCTGCTCCAAGAGGAATTTTGGTGGTCCTCTTGAAGCCACCCTGCCCCTCACATCTTGTTACATCTCCTCCCGTCTCCTCGCATCTCCTCACGTCTCCTCACGCCCCCCCCCCCCCCCCCCCCGTTTCTGCCCGCGCGCAGAAGTCCCCCAAGGACAACGAGCAGCAGCGACTGCAGCGCCAGCTCGAGGAGGTGCTGCGGCTCCTGCAGCCGCAGGCCACCCCCTCCCCCACCTCGTCGCCGGGGCCCACGCCGCCGCCCTCCTCCACCTCGTCGTCGCTGCTCCGTCGGGACGCGTCCGCGAGCGGCGGCTCCAGGTCCGGCGCCTCGTCACCCGCCGCCTCCTCCTCCTCCTCCGCCGCGTCGTCGCCGGCCGCCTCCAACCACTCGCAGCGGTCGCTGAGCGACGCGGGCGACGTGGGGAGCGGGGGGAGCACGCGGAGCTCCGAGAGCCGCGGTGAGCAACGGCGCTCGGGCCTCGTCGCGGCTGCCCCCGGCGTGGGGGGGCGGCCTTCATCCCTCGCGGAATCACGACGGGTTTTAAGAGGGCGGCGGGCGGCGTTGGTGTGCGGGCACGGCGGCGATCGTACGCACGTCGAACTTCTTTCGCGCCGTACGTAGCCGGCCGTGCCAATCGGATGCGCGGGTAGTCTGAGTGTTTGTGTGTTCGCGCTTTAGAGTTCGCGCCAAAGTGTTAGCGTGTGAGTGTTTGCGCAGTAGGTGTCAGCGCGTTTCATATTAGAGCGGGCAGCGCGGTAGTGTTGATGTGTTCGTGTTAGCGCGGTAGTGTTAGTGCTGTAGTGTTAGTGGGTTCGGGCTTTGTCAAACCGCTGCTGCTCAAAGGCCTCCTCCGGGCCGTGATCAGTGACAGGGGGCGGTTATTTGACCAGGAGCAGTGTGCGGACATCGATCGCCACTGATGTTAGCCGTGGCCGACGATCAAACTCGGTTCACAATACAGTGCGCTGACGACAATACCAACAACAACAACAACCGCCATTTGCCACTAATTGGCGGTGACATCACCACGCCGCTTGTGCCAGGCCATGTGCACGTTAAGGCCAGTGCCACCCCCTCCCCCCGCCCCCCTACACGCGCCAAGGGAAGGCATCTGTGTCCCAGACGTTACGACGTGTTCACGCGTTCCACTGCGCATTTCCCCCCGCGTCCTCCCCCTCTCCCCCCCCGCCCCGTGTCCAGACTGCGACGGGGGAATTCGTCGCGGTGGGGAAGATCTCCTTCGACTCCCGGGACGTGCTGGGCCGCGGGGCCGAGGGCACCTTCGTGTACCGGTGCGTGGCCACGGTGGGGGCTTTGTGGGGGGCGGCCTTCATCCCTCGCGGAATCACGACGGGTTTTTTTTCCTATTGCTTTTTCTTCATCCTGGAGAAATATGATGAGCGTTGAAGCCCTTCTTTCACGGATGTACGGGTAGGGGCACTGGGTGTCTCTGTGTTCGATTCTCGCTCACGGTCAACACCAGTGATGATTATTTGAACCAGTCATGGGCCCTCCCCTAGGTCTACTCAACCTGAAATGGGTACCTGGTGCAGTGTGTAAACATCGCCACTGGGGAGAGAAAAGTGGTCAGGCGTGGTGCCTGGCCACCCACCCCTTCCGTGTGCCTTGCCGGCATTCATCCCTGCTCACTAACAGCACTTGCCCCTACAATCTGTTCAGGCTATATGGGGGATCTTTGTCTTTGTATACCTGGGGGAGCGGTAGTGTAGTAGTTAGTGCGCAGCACTACAAACCCGGCGTACCGGGTTAGATCCCCGCTCACGGCCAACACCAGTGACGATTATTTGAACCGGTCATGGGCCTCCCCTAGGTCTCCTCGGCCTTAAATGAGTACCTAGTGGGGTGTGCAAACATCGTCACTAGGGAGACAAAGGCGGCCGGGCGTGGTGCCTCCGTGTGCCTTGCCGGCCTTCATAGGCGCATCCTCGCTAACAGCGCTTGCCCCAACAGTCTGTCGAGGCTATACGGGGGGCGTGGATCTTTTGTCTTTGCGAGCGCAGGGGTCACTTCGACGGGCGCGCCGTGGCGGTGAAGCGCGTGCTCTCGGACTGCGTGGCATTTGCGGAGCGCGAGGCCCAGCTGCTGCGCGAGTCGGACGCGCACGCTCACGTCGTGCGCTACTTCTGCACAGAGCGCGACCGCCAGTTCCACTACATCGCCATCGAGCTGTGCGCCAGCACGCTGCACCAGGTGCGCGTGCGTGTGTGATTGTGGGAGAGTGTGAGTGTGTTCGTGCGTAGCTGTGCGTGCGAGTGCGCGTGGTCCGACCCATCAGTTCCACTACGTCGCCACCGAGCTGTGCACCAGGTGCGCGTGTGTGTGCGTGTGTGCTTGTGTGCGTGTGTGTGCGTGCGTGTGTGTGTGCGTGTGTGTGCGTGTGTGTACGCATGTGTGTGTGTACGTATGTGTGTGTGTACGCATGTGTGTGTGCGCGTGTGTGTGTGTGTACGCATTTGTGTGTGCGCGTGTGTGTGTGTCTGCGCGTGTGTGTGCGTGTGTGGGGGCAGCAGTAGTGTTGCAGTTAGCGTGCTGTGCTACGAACCCGGCAACCCGGGTTCGATTCCCGCTCACGGCCAACACCAGTGATGATTATCTGAACCGGTATTGGGCCTCACCTCGGTGCTGGCCACCCACTCCCTCATAGGTGCTCGCTAACAGCACTTGCTCCAACACTCTGTTAAGGCTATACGGGGGAACTTTGTCTTTTTCCCGTTCTTGATTGTGTGAGTGTGTCAGTGTGCGTGCGTGCGTGCAACTGCCCGTTTCCGCGACTTTTTTATCGACCTCCCCCGCCCCTCCCCCTCGGGGATGCCTTCCCTCCTTCGGCTGCCACTCCGTCGCCAGCCTCCGCCGCCGGCCATCGCCGCTCCTCGTGGCGCGTGACAGCGCGTCGCTGCCCTCGTGAATGTGATCCCAGAGTCCCTCGCTCGTGCCGGATCCCGTGCTGCTCACCGTTCCGTCGCGCCGCTCATTTGTTTTCGCCCCCCCCGCCAGTACGTGGAGGGGGAACGTTTTGATCGGCGGGGGCTGGAGCCGCTGACGCTGCTGTACCAGACGATGAGCGGACTCGCTCACCTGCACTCGCTCAACATCGGTGAGCGGCCTCCTGCCCCCGGCGCTCGCCCACCCCTTCCTCCCCTTCCATTATGTGGCTTTTGAAAAGGCAAACGGAACCGCGTTCACGAACCGTGCGTGCGCGCGCGTGTGTTGTGGGTAGCGGTTAGCGCGCTGCGCTACGAACCGAAATTAAAAAGAGCACAAAGATACGAAGAAAAGTGCAGCGACGAAACAAATCAAAACCCCAACCCAAAATTTGGTCCTGCTGCTGTTGGCAGCGCTGCAGAAGCACAAATAAGCACATCTTAGCAGATGCTTCCACGCAGTACTGTTTCACTCTTGTCTTGATAAATTGGCCGGAGACAGCAAAATGCGTCTGCCGGATGCTTGCAGCCTTTAGATGCCATATCAGAAAAACGCAGACATGTATCCACTTAGGCAGCTGGAACTAAACTGCACTGCTGGGCTTAATGCCCCTGTATCTATACGACTATTAATATCACTGTAAAGTTCTAGCATGTTCTACAAGTTACTCCAAGTTTACTCGGCACTGACTCTATCTGGAATAGTCTGGAAAATAGGTAAATGTCTAAATATCATTGTCCTGGTGACCAAAGCAAAGTTTGTGGGGAATAATAATGTCTGTACTTTTGAAGCATAAGCAATTAGGAAATAACACTTATTACCCAGGAATTAAACAAAAAATTTGTTACACAGCACAATAAAAAAAACAACACTTTGTCCTTGAAAGGAAAAACGTACGCATAATGGGCGAAGATGCAGGCAACGAAATAGAAATCGGAGCAAAACCAACTGCATTGCAGAAGCAATTGAAAACAGCGTATGAACATAAATCAATTTTTAAATTGCATTCAGTTTCCTGCAGCAAAAAAAAGCAGCATCAGCAACATCGCCCCCTTACTGTGAAAATTTGGCAGGACCTCCTGAAAAAAAAGTCGTGAGACTCGGTGAGGCTGTCCTGGGTGTACAAGCTCGATTAATAAATGAACAAATATGACCCCGGTGAAGCAGCGTGGTGATGTATGGTCGAACAATTCCGAACAACACACTTTTCATGTTCCTGTTCTTGTCCATCTTTACACACGTGTGTCCAAACAGTGCCAGTTTCCTTGCCATCGCTGCCTGCAGCATCATCAGGTCTCCTTCTGCGTGCCCCCTTTTTCTAACTTCACTCTACTTTGGTCACTCTCCGGGCCCAGCTTGGTCAAACGAAAAAACAAAAACACGCGGTTAAATCTTTTTTACGCGGGAGGCTGCTGCCTCTGTCTGGTCCGGTCCGGTCAGACCCGTTCGCTAACCCCCCCACCCGCCGTGCCCGCGATCCCGCCGGAGAGCAGTCCACCGCGACCTGAAGCCGCACAACATCCTCATCTCGATGCCGAGCGCGCTGGGCCGTGTGCGGGCGCTCATCTCCGACTTCGGCCTCTGCAAGAAGCTCGGCGCCGGGCGGCAGAGCTTCAGCCGGCGCTCGGGCACCGCCGGCACGGAGGGGTGGATCGCGCCGGAGATGCTGCGCGAGGACAGCACCGAGAACCCGGTGGGTGGTGTGGGTGGCGCCGCCACCGCTGATGGTGGTACCGATTGTGGTGATTAGTCATAGAGGTGGCGGTGGTGGTGATGGTACCACCTGACACACTCTCCACTCTACACCCCACAATCTGAAGCATAAACCTACACTCTGCTCCTGACCCCCCACACCACTCCTCGCCCTGGACCCCACCGCTCGCCCCCACACCGCGCTCGGACGGGCCCTGCCAACGCCGCGCGCCGCCTCTCTCCCTCTCCCCACCCGCAGACGAGTGCGGTGGACATCTTCTCGGCGGGCTGCGTGGTCCACTATGTGGTGACGGGCGGGGGCCACCCCTTCGGCGACGCCCTGCGCCGCCAGTCCAACATCCTGCAGGGCGCGCACAGCACCGCGCAGCTGGGCAGCGACACGCACGGTGAGCGGCACGATGGAGCCGACGCCCCGCCGCGTGGCAGGGAATCTCGGGGGGGTCCCTTCAACGGGGCGATGCGGCGAGGTGGGCGCGAACTCCCACTGCGCTCTGGGCTATGACAGGTCAACGGAGAAGCGCTCGGCCCGTTGAATGTGCACACCGCTCTGAACCCCTCCCCCGCCGCCGCCCCCTGTGAAAGCAGAGGCTGCCTCCTGCCTTCACTCTGCTCCCTCTCTTCCCTCCCTTCTTATCGCCCTCTCCACCCCTCGATATCTTGGCCCGATTCTTCCTTTTCCCCCCTCGTCCCCTTGCTGCCCAGCGCTCCTGTCTTCACGCTGCTCACCTTTGAGCCATGCTCTCTTTGTCCATCTTGGGAACTTCCGACCCGGCATCCCCTCTCGGCTCTACTCCGCTTCCAGCGGTGGCGTGCCGCCACGGATGAACAGGTTGCATCTCACCTCACACATTTGAAAGGAGCACGCACAGTCCCCACTGCCCCTGCGCGACGCAAAGTGGCTCGGCGCTAGGCCCGCAAACGAGCACGAGCCTGGCAGTAGGCGGCGGCGATTGCCGCTGCCGTGCGCAGTACCGGTCGAGTTGAACGGTGACCCACGTGGACTTCTGCGAGTGTGTCCACGTGTAACACGGGGCGAGCGAGCGGCGAGTGCCTCTCCGCGCGTCCTTCAGCAACGTCGAGCGGGTGAGCGACGTGGCCTGTTGGTGTCCACCCGTGGGCGAGGGGTGGATCCTGTGTGTGCGTGCATGTCCACCCTGTGGGCATCCACCTTTAACATGGAACAAGTGAGTGTTGGTTGGTGGGGTTCTGTTGGTATCCACCATGAGCGTTGGTGAGCGGTGGTGCCTCTGGGCATTTGCGTGTCCACCCTCGGACACGTACGAGCCGATTTCATCGCTCCATCTCCCCCGGCGGAAGTCCTCCTCTCCGGGACGCGCCCCGTAACTTGGCTCAATAGCAATCGGTAGCGAGCGACTGAGCGATCTGATCGCCACCGCCGTGGGTGAGTTTGCGCGTCGGCGGTGCTCGCTCGGGGCACCGGCTTCAGCGGCGGTAGCGCACGTTAGCGGGGCGGTGGGGCCGCAGGGGCGCCTCTGTCTGCTCTGTATTCTAGTGGCCCGTTCGGGACAATCGTCCATTCGGCAAATTGCATCTCGAAAATGTTTTCAATTTTTTACGAGGATTTTCCGCAAAAGTAGGGCATCCAATTTTCAGCTTATTGTTGGCTTTAAATGGGTGTCGGAGGAGTGCGTTATATCTGCGATCAGAAATTGGGGACGAATAAATTGCCTTCCCCTCTCCGCGTGCAGCGACAGGGCGCAAAATGCCGCAGGAGGAGGTGGGGGAAGCTGGAGCAGGAGTGGGGGGGGGTGGTGGGCGGGGGGGCGGGGGGCAGGGGAGGGGGGGGAAACAGTTCCCGCGAGAACCGCTGCCACTCGACGCAGGGCGCTCAGAATCCAGAGCGTCGTCGTTCAAAAGGCGCCGTCCCCAGACGCCGCGGCCCCGCTATACGTGGAGGTGGCGCTTCTCGCGGCGCGCGACCGCTCCATCCTTCCTCGTCATCGTTTGCTGCCGCCACCCTCCGCCCACCCACCCACCCCCGCCCCCAGCCTCCCTCCCCGCCCTCGTCGCATCGATTAATCGCGCGTCGCCGCAGAGCGCCCCCGATTAGCACGGTTGACTGACTACGTACGGTGCGAAAGAAGTTCAACATACGTACGTACAGATGAGCGATGTGCCAACATCCCCCCCCCCGCCCCCCCCCCCCTCCCCGGCGTGCGCGTGGTGCGGTGTTACTTTTGTAACAGGATTCCGTGGCAAAAAGCATTCGACGACAGAGTGTTCCCGCCGAGACAATAATGATGAACTCGTAACGCACCGCTCGCTCTCGAAGGGGGTAGAGGGAGGACGGCTCGGAGAGGGGGGCGAGGAATCCCAGACAAAGCGGGAAGGCAGCAGCCACAAGCAACTGCCCAAGCTTTGCGGTCCTCTATATACAAAGGTCTTTTCAGCCAATGAGCGTTTATGCATTTGGTGGGTAAAAAACGGAGCACCCGGAGGCAACCGACGATATTATTCGCCGTACCGCCTACCCCTGGCGAGCCATGACGCAGCTCCTCCTCAACGCCCACGGGAGGGGGGAGTCATCCACCAACCCTCGCTGCTGCCGCCACAGTGCTGGATCACGGGGCATGTCCACGTGCGCAGCGAGCACCGCCCGGCTAATGAAGGAGTTGGAGTGACGACGCAGGCCGAGATGATTTAGTGGCGTTATTAGAGATCGCAGTTGCGCTGAGGAATACCCAAACAACGTGGTAATTGGCTGTGTGCGTGTCTGTCGGAGGATTTACCGAGTTCGCTGATTGACTGAGCAGGTAATATTGGGGAGGAAACTACAGCGCGCCCCTCACACTGACGTTTAATAACGAAGGCCGTGTGACAGGACTAAGAGAATGACGATGTGATATCCACACACTGACGACTGGACTGGTGCAGTGGTGAGCGCATGCGCCACTAACCCAGTGAACCGAGTTGAATTCCCACTCGCGACCAATAAGAGTGGAGAACATTTGAACCGATCGTGGGGCCTCCCCTCATTCCCAACGTCTGTTCAAGATGATGTTGTTTGGATGCCTGAGTTAGTGAGTGGGTGGGTGGGTGTGTGAGCGAGTGAGTGTCGTTGACTTGGCTAAGACTGTGACTAAACAATGCTTACTAAATTAACACTGGTGTGTGTGTGTGTGGGGAGCGATAGTGTAGCGGTTAGCGCGCTACGCTATGAACTCGGCGACACGGGTTCGATTCCCGCTTACGGCGAACACCAGTGACGATTATCTGAACCGGTCCTGGGCCTCCCCTAGGTCGACTCAGCCTAAAAAAATGAGGGAGATAAAGTCGGTCAGGCGTGGTGCTGGCCACCCACCCCTCGTGTACCATTGCGGCCTTCATCGGTGCTTGCTAACAGCACTTGCCCCTACAGTCTGTTAAGGCTATATAGGGGATCTTTGTCTTTGTTTGTTTGTATGTGTGTGTATATGCATGCGTGTGCCTGCACGTGCGGAGCCACAGACACCGTGGTGGCGCGGGACCTCATCGAGGCGATGATCTCCCGGGAGCCGCGCAAGCGACCATCAGCGGCCACCGTCCTCGCCCACCCGTTCTTCTGGAGCCTCGAGAAGCAGCTGCAGTTCTTCCAGGTGCCGCCCCCCCAGACACAACCCAACTAGACGCCACCCCCCCACTGCCCCCCACCCCGTCCTCCCCCTGCCCCCCCACCTTTCCCTTTGGCTCATGCCCACGGCGTGTCCCACTTGGCGACCTTGCCGCCAGGTCTCTGTTTGAGAGTTGCCCCCCCCCCCCCCCCCCCGAGCGACAACGTTCTGGTCAAAGGCAACCGGCGAAAGATCCCAGCGGCCTCCCGCTGGGACGTTGGCGCAGGTTAAGGGGCTGCCGCCGGCCCCGTCTCATGGCGGAGCCAGACGGGCCCGGCGGGGGGGTTGACCGCGAGTGCCGCAGTCACGTTGCTCCCCACGAAGCGTTGACGCCGCGTTGGCAGGCGGTGCAGTGGCCCACCAGCCACGGAGACGCGAGGGGACGTGGCAGCCGAACGGCGATTGAGAACCAAAACCTCAACGCGTCCGTCAACAGGGCTGCCTTGGAATAAAAAATATATATATTTAATGTAAAATATGGCGACGTTTCTGGCGATGGCCCTTCTCGCAGAGAGAGAGAGAGAGCGATAATTCTCTTCTTCTTTTTCTTCACAGAGTGACATGGAATGTCACCAGTTACGCATTTTATTGCGTCACCGTGCTATTGACGACTGCGTTGAGTTTGAATTCCCAATGGTCGTTGGGCCGCCACGCTCTTCCGCGCGTGCACGCACGCGTTCGTTAATCGCGCCCGCGGTCACGTGACTTTTACGCTCGTTCTCCGAGGCTCGTTAACGGCACGTCCCTGGGATGACTCGAGTGGCCGATAGCATCGCCGCCCCCCTCGGCCGCCCCCACCCCCCGCCGCCCCCATCCCAATCTCACTCGTTGGGTCCCCCCGTTATTAAAATCATTCATCACCCAGTAGCATTTCACGAACGCCACCTCCACAGAAAATGCCCCCCTCCGCCATGTGTTTCTGTTTTAATCCGATTGCAAGTGAAACGAACGCTGGCCCCGTCGTTCTGACATTTGCCGTGCCCTTGGCGCCGTGTCCTCGCCCGGCACCGGGGCGCCGGCGGTGGCGGCGACGCGGCACTAGCGGGCGGGCGGGCGCCGGTAGGGAGCTTGCGGTTTGTATCGGGTTACGGGTGCTCCATCCTCCTAGCTCCGACCAGCGTTGAAGGTGAGCCGCTCTTGCGCGAGCCGCGCGTTAAATCGGCGCGCTGTTTTCCGCGCCGGCGCCGCCAAATCTTCTCGCTCCCTCACCCCCCACCACCCCCACCCCCCTTCGTTAACCCCGCCGGTGTCGGCGTCGTCGCCCCGTCTCGTCCGCAACGAGACCGCGAATTGCCCACAAGGCGGCAATGCGGCAAGGGATTATTCAATCTATCTGTGCGTAGCTTTGACCCGCTTGAATGTGTAAGGGGTGGTTTGTTTTGTTTTTCTTATCTCTATGTGATGCGTTTCTGCCCTAAACCTAACAGTGATTAATGGAGATTGGCCACACATTGCAGCACATGGTTCCTCCAGACAGAGAGACCTGCAACTCAGCGACGCGATCCCCGATGAATAATTTAGTTCATGTGCTCCCTCTCAATCCCCCACCCTCACCTCCACCCCTTCCTGGCTGCTCACTCCGCTTGTGCGGGGCCCCAATCCTCCATGCCGCGCATGACCTCGTGAGCGTGTGTGTCAGTGAGCGTGTGTATGTATATTGTGCAGCACTTGCCACAACAGTCTGTAGAGACTAAACAGGGAATCTTTGTCTCTGTGCGTGTGTGTGTGTGGTGTAACAGGACGTGAGCGATAGGATAGAGAAGGAGGCGGTGGAGGGAGCGGTGGTGGTGCGTTTGGAGGACGGGGGGGCGCGAGTGGTGCGCGACGACTGGAGGCTCCGTATCACCGTGCCGCTGCAGACCGGTCTCACGCACACACACACACAAAGATAAAGATCCCCCGTGTAGCCTTAACAGACTGTTGGGGAAAGTGCTGTTAGCAAGTATGGTGCTGGCCACCCAGCCAGCACCACGCCGGACGGCCTTTTCCTCCCGAGCGGCGATGCTTACACACCGCACGATTCACTCGTTTGAGGCCTGGTCGACCTAGGGGAGGCCCAGGAACGGTTATGATAATCGTCACCAGTGTTGGCCGTGAGCGGGAATCGATCGTGGGTCGTTGGGTTTGTAGCGCAGCGTAGCGCTAACCGCTGCACCACCGCACCCGGTAAACACACAACGCGCACATACACAAGGGCCATTGCCAAACCACACCAGGCCACTGGTTCCTATGTAAGCCTATAGGTCTCTTGACAGCAGGGTAGCTATCGAGTGTGCAGGTGGTGGAACTGCACCGGGGCCAAATGGAGTGGGAGGGGTGCCCAGGCACCAGACTACGAAGAGTGGGGGAGGGGGAGAAATTGGGCAGCCTCCCCCCCCCCCAATTGAATCCTTGCACTCTGGCCCATGCCACTAATCAACACACTGCGTTCTCCCAGCCCTCTCCTCCCGCCTCCTCCTCCCTCCTCCTCTCTCCTCCTCCCTCCTCCTCTCTCCTCCAGAGAAATCACAAAGCTGCCTCAGCTGGGAGGGGGTGGGGAGTGGAAGCTGTTACACGGATGTGTGGAAAAACACACACGCACGCAGAAACACGTTCTCGCTCGTGCGCCCTCCTCTCTCCGGTTCCCACACCGGTCCGGCGGGAGATAGGGAGAGAAGGAGGGGGTGAGAGGGGGGCTGGCGGGCTGGGGGGCTGGGCCCCCCCCTCCCTCCACCCCGCTGCTTCACTTGATATGCAGTGCAGGCAAACTGTTTGCAAAACTTGGAGAGGCAGGTAGTGGAGAGAGCGCGAGCGGCGCGGTGAGGCGGTGTGCGCCGCGGCCTCGTGCGCTGCCTGTGCTTGGAGAGCCGGAGCAGCGACGGGCGGGAAGCGGATCGTGTCGGGCGGATTCTTTCCATCTCGTGACACCGATAGGCGCAGTCGAGATCGGATCGGGCAGAGAGACAAGAACGAAGGGTCAAGTCTACTTAGAGAGGGGGGGTGGTGGTGGCCCAGGACGCGATCAGACACCACGTGTCGCTGTTAGCCACGGGCGGGAATTGAACTTAGGTTGCTGGGTTTAAACCGCAGTCCTGATAAACATGCCAATGTCAGGCCAACGTTGGAATGTGGTTGGAACCGTTAGACCGACGTTGGCTCAACGTTCCGTGTTTGCTGGGGTGCCCGAAGCACTATGCCACCGCTCCTTTGCACACTCGCAACAACAGGAACCTCCATTCGCGGCTCACAGTGGGTTTTATTTTCGTTGGGTTCCTCCGTGCGTAAGTGGGCACGACGTCACTTGCAGCTGTGCACCCCTCCACCACCCGACACAGCCAAGAAAAATCGAGTTGTCACCCGGACAGCAGTGTACGGTTGATGTTGGGTTTTTAGGCAAAACTGATTGAGTTGAGAAGAAAAGTTACATTTTGACAATCTCGCACGACGTTTCGCCGGAGATTACATCGAGCTTGTGAATAAAATATGTGAACGACGTCAACCTCCACTCCGCTGCCAAGCGGTGGTGGCATTACCAGGGTGCTGAGCGCTAGAATGTGTGCACTTTGTTTCCCTAGTCGCGATGTTTACACATCGCACACAGGTACTCATTTGAGGCTGAGACACGAACACACACACGCGCGCACACGCACGTGCACGCGCCAAGCTATTCCACGCGGGATCAGATGCTTTGCTTGCCGATGCAGATGGCTGCCCTCGTGACATGTTTTATTTAAATGTATCCTGCAGATTTGAGAAAGTTCAGGACGTACAAGGGCACGTCGGTGCGCGATCTCCTCCGGGCCATGAGAAACAAGGTTGGATTTCACAGCGAATCGATGCGACAGCGCACACTGACAAACAAGAGGGCGTCATTGCTCGCCGATGCAATCTCGCTCTTCAAAACGATCGTTAATTTAGAAGAACAATCATGGGTCACAATCATCATAATGTCAGTAGCGAACTCGACTTGTGACGCACCGTCACCGCTGCGGCACAGTATTCGCGGTCGCCTGGGGGAAGCAAGTCCTTGACTATGGCCTCCCACTAAGTAGCCACCGCCGGAAGCACTCGTCATTCAAGCGACACAGCCCCCATTAAGAGACGTCACGGTTCGCTGCCCCCAGTGTCGCACGCAAACTTCTCCTTATCCTGTTTCATATTTACGGAGCGCCTCAGTTGAAGGTGCTTCACGTAGTTTGAAAGCGGGAATAAAAAGCGAGTGCTTTCGGTGGCAAGGGCGGTGCCGAGGAATGAGTGACCGCGACAGAGGGCACTTGGGTGGCGGGGGGGGGGGGGTCACGGAAGGGCTGTAGGGGAGGGACGGGACGGAGTGGAGAGGACGAGGGGAAAGAAGAGGAAGGGAATTGGCGATGGAGAAGAGGTGAGGATTTAAGGGGAAGAACAAAAAAAGGTTTAAGGTGGGGGGGGGGGGGGGACACATCGTGTGACCCACACTCCCGTGTGCTTGCTCCTTCCCTCTTCCTTCCTCCTAATCCTTCTTGCTCCTCGTTGCCGCACGACCTCGCCACCGGCAGAAGCACCACTACCGGGAGCTGCCGGAGGACGTGCAGGAGACGCTGGGCTCCGTGCCGGACGACTTCTGCCGCTACTTCACGTCGCGCTTCCCGCTGCTGCTGCTGCACACCTACAAGGCCATGAGGTGCTGCTCGCAAGAGAGGCTCTTCCACGCTTACTACCAGCGCCGCGCGGAGGATGGAAGAGACGCGTCCTCGCCGTGACGCAATCCGCTCGGGAGGGGACGTCCGAGGAGGAGGAGTCGGAGGAGTTGGAGAACTTCGACTGCTACACCGTCGCGGGGGGGAGGGAATGTGGACCCAATATACGCCCGGAGCGTTCGTGGCCAACGATCGACGCCCGCAGAAGTTGCGACGGCGCCCGGTGCAGGGGCGACGCGGAACTGTGACGTGGAAGCTGGCGGTGCCGCAGTTGGGCTGACGGGGGAGGATAAATAATTAAACAAAAAAATAGGACCACAGATTAGATTGTATAGTGATGTGTGTGTGTGTTTTTTTATCATCAAGTTAGTTTTATAATAATAGTGAGATCAAGATGTCATGAGGGCGAAAGCTGCTGAAGCCACCGGTGCAAAATCACTTCAATGCCTGTGTAACCGTTTGCTCCGTAAGTTTGTGTTCGCCCGTATGTTCATGCTCGCCCTTACGTTCATATTCGCCTGTACGTTCATGTTCACCCGTACGTTCATTTTCGCCCGCACATTCATGCTTGCCCGTAGTTCATGTTCACCCATATGTTCATGCTCGCTTGTACGGTAATGGTCGCCCTACATTCATGTTCACCCTTATGTTCATTTTCACCCATGGGTTCACAAAGTTTTAGCCGAGCTTTAAGCCGACGCGTGGAATTTGCCAGCGAAGAAGACGTCGAGAGAAGATGTATCTTTTTTTTATTGTGGGAGACTTTGGCAGTGAAGAACAAAAAATGTGCCGCATCCTTCCACGAAAAAATAACAACTCTGAGAAATAATTGTTTACAAAAGTGATGGATGACGTTTCGTTTTACAGTCAAATGGCAGTTCGTTTAATGCGTTTTTACTCGTGCCTGAGCATTTAGAGCCACACTCTGCAGAAGCCAAGTGCAATTAAATTCAAGGAAAGAGCTACCGCTGTATGCGTGGTGAAGGAGTCCCTGTGTGTGTGTGTTTGTCTGTGCCACCCCTGTGTCGCGGTGAGCGCACTGCGGTACGAATCCTGCGACCCGAGTTTGATTCCCACTCACGGCCAACATTGGTAATAATTATCTGAATTGATCCTGGGCCACCCCTAGGTAGACTCAGCCTCAATATAAGTTTCTGGCGTGGTGTGTAAACATCACCACTGGGTAGACGAATGTGGTGGGGCGTGGTGCTGGTCACCCACTTCCTCATGTACTGTGCCGGCTTTCATAGGTGCTCGCTAACAGCACTTGTCCAAAAATTCTGTATAGGCTACACGGTGGGATTTTGTCTCCATCATCCTTGTAGGGAGCGGTAGTGCAGTTATCAGTGCACTGCGGTAGCTCGTGCTTGATTCCCGGCTGCGGTAAACATCACTGGTGATCATCTTGGACTGAGACTTGGGCCTCCGCTAGGTCCGACTCACCCTTCAATGAGTCCGTCGTGCAGTTGTGTAAGCATCACCACTGGGGCGCGGTTGCTGGCGAAAACCACCCCCTCGTGTGTGCACCGTGCCTGCCTTCACGGTTGCTCACGAACGGCACTTGCCCTAACAGCCTGCGTAGGCTACATGCCTTAGTCTTCGTGTCATCCTCCAGGGAGGTGTGGTGCGCGCGTCTGTGAGATACTCGGGAGTCATGGTTTTATTTCAGGGGGATATGTCTAGGTCGGCGGCCCGGAAAATATTTTCCCACCCAGAACACCACATCCATAAACTACTAGTCGTGTGCCATCTAGTCCAGTCGACACAGCGACCCAGAACATATCGAGAGGAGAATGGCAGGAATAATAGGAATAGAGGATAAGGATTTATTATTCTTTGAATTTATAGGCCACCTAAATGCAACGAGCACCTCGCAGCAGCTGACATCTCGGCTCAGCCATTCCATTTCCCTATGGCAGTCAAACTAAGGGACCCCCCCAGTGGCAGATGTCCCCATGTGCCACAAGATGTACGCAGCACCGGGCCTGCAAACGGGCATTTTGTCTGCTAGTAGGGGGCCAATGCTGTTGGTGTGTGGTTTATTTTTCCCATTTAGGCATACAATCATTTGCGGGTAATTTGGCAAATATGACAAAGTGAGAAGGGATGTATGGGAGGAGCTGAGTGTTATGGGAGATCGGACACGGAGAGGCTCATGGGAAATGTTGGATCGACTCGCGCTAGTTCACGAGCACAGCTCGTGACGTCCATTTAATGCACGGCGAATTCTCTTCCCAACCCTCGCGTGGCGTACGCTAATGTTTCCGGCTCGGCAATCAGTAAATTATATTACCGTAAAAAATATATCTATATCTTTTGCGGTTCCCAATTGAGTTTACGGGTCCTCAGTGGCACCGTCCAAATACCCCCACGTGCCCATTAGCCCCTCTACACACACACTCGAGGGCTTCATATCTGAGTGGCACCGAGCCACGGTGTCGCGTCTAATTAGGGCCCCGTGTATATTGAGAAACCACTTGCGAAAATGGACTGGCTCACTTTCGTGTCTGCGATTGCCAGCGTGTGACCACCGGGGGGCACGTTGAAAATAGCGACTACATTTTTAGCGTGCCATAAAGGCCAATTAGTGGGTTTCCGTGGCCAGAAAGCTGTTCTCGTTTCTCTGTGTGAGTGTGGTACAGAGAGGAGCTCACGGGTGGTGGCATCTGTCAGTCATCTCAGTTAACGCGTGGCACCTGGGCGCGTCCCGTGACATCCTTCCAGCGAGCCTTCCACACTTCACCTGGCCTCAAAGGGCACCTCGCCTGCCTGGCACACCCACTGTGGTGGCGGTAGTGGTGTCACTTCTTGGCGAATGCCGGCTGTTGTTGTATTTGGCATGTGTGATGGTTTCTCGCTAACAGCGCTTGCCCCAACAGTCTATGTTGGCTATTCAGGAGATCTTTGTCGTGGGTATACGAGGTTGCATTTGTTTTGCTCGGATTTAAGTTTCACGTGCATCAGTGTTGGACCATCGATTTGTCTGGCAATGTTAACGTGAAGTGCGTTGGTGGTCTCAGTCGTCACCAATGACTGCAACTCAAACATAATAACACATTAATGTAGATGTTTCTCTTAATTATACCAAATTTTAGCACTGAGAATTAACAATATCAGTTTAAATGTCACGGGGTTTTTTTTCAAACAAATGCATGGGAAAGTCCAGCACCTTACTGTGTGAACCAGAGGCGACTTGAAATCCGTAAAGGTAACCTCTGATATCTTCTCCCAGGGACCGTTCCCTAACACGGGTTACACTACCCTCTGCAAGAGCTCTGAACGGATTCTTCATCTCACTGCGACACCGCTAGCACGATTAGGATAAAACTTGGCAAGACAAATTACTTTGTCGTAGGCATGAACACTGAACCATTGGTTGGGCCAACCACATACCGTTGAATGCAACGTTGCATGTTTACTGGGAACCAGGTACTGCATGTAAGTGGGTAAAAAAATCTCACATTGTAGAACTTACAAAAAAATAGCAATGCAATTAATAGCTTTTTGTGACATTTAGGCTTAAATAATAATTTCAACTTGTAGTGCATCGCACAGAGTATTTGTCTGCTATACATTTCCACGTGATACGCCACTTCATTGGGCTACCATATGTGGCCAGGTCGCTTCTGAAAAAGAGCTATACAGCTAAGTGGTCCTTACTTGGTAAAAAAAATAAAAGTAGTAAAATAGACTAGTCCTGGATCATTGTACCTGTCACTTATTCTGCCTGCTATTGAGTGTTTCCCCCTTGGCATGCGTGGGTTTTTTCCAGGTGCTTGAGTTTCCTTCCATATGTAATACACTCATTAGGAAGGCAGGGGCCACGCAGTGAGCCGCAGCCAACTATTGCCCAAGCTCTACGATCCTCTACCCTTCAAGGTGTTAATGGCCAATGGATGAGTGGTACTGTAGCACCTGGAGGAAAAAACTCAATAACAGACAATAAATGACAGGTACAATCGTCCAGGATTAGACTTTTTACGACTTTTTTCCCAGGTAAAGCCCAATGAGCTATATAGCTCTTTTTAAGAAGTGATCTGGCCACAATTATAGCCCAATGAAGTGGCTTATTATGTGGAAATGCATGTCAGACAAATACTCTAAAGTCATGCTTCTAAACAATGGAAAAACCGGAGGACCCGATCAAACTCCACGCGACCACATGGAGAACGTGCAAAACTCGAAATATACAGCAGGCGTCGAACCTACGACCTCCTGTATACCAGACGAGGTAGTTAATTCTAGATTTGAAGCTTTCGTGACTGCAATGATCCATACTCTTAGTTCTTTCGGTAAAGTCACATAGGTAAAAAATGAAATTAATAAAAATAAAACAATAAAAATCACGACGTTTCGGAGGCAACACAAGTCTCCGTCATCAGGTGGGACCGTCACAGCCAGATTTGCTGCATCAAGTGAGGGAGGGATTCAAGGTGTAAGCTCTTAAGTACCAGTTAAGGGGGGAGGGGCTTATCAGAATGTGGTAGCCAATGAATGGAACGTATCGGGAGGGGGGGGGGCTAACATCTTGCCACCGACGAACAGGGCAGCCCAGTGCAGAGAGAGAGAAACATTTATTTTAAGATGATTATCTCTGACTAGGAGAGATATAGGGACAGGCTGTATCAGTTGCAAGTGACTGGGAGTCTGCACGTGACAAGTTTCAACGAACTGACTCTAAAAGCGTGATGACATTCGAGATAAAAACAAAAGGTTGGCAGAAATTGTACAAATTTGCCTCGTCAGTGCCCTATCTTATTACAGATCAATTCAGACCTCATTGATCACCCCGTGCCCTCATACATCTCAACGTTCATCCTACGAAGTCCCATCACAAGGGAGAAACACAAACAAATAGACAAAATCAATTGCCCCCGTTGAAACGGCTGTACGCCGTATGGATATGAAAACTCAATTCCCCTGTAAAAGCACACGGGGTGAACCGTCTAGGTTGACAGGATACGCGTTTCCACAAGTTTAAACGACAACAGGGATCAATGTGGTGACACCACCTACAACAGGCAGCGGCGCACAAACACAACGTAACGTATTTGTCAATCACACTCGGTACACGTGCCATGAAAGAGGGGCATTGCCCGAAACGTCGCATCATGCGGTATATATTTTTTTAATAAAGCAGCGTCGATTCTCTCACGATTGTCACGCTCACGATCCACGCGTGGAATCGAGCGCGTAGAGAAACTCAGGTTAAAGCCTTCCGACTATTATACGGGCGCGTTGCCGTGAGAATAATTGATTATAACAAAGGGTGCTTAACAACGGCGGACGCAGCACAAAGCACGAGACAATTAAAACTCTAAACAATAGGACTCGTTTAATAAATCGAATCGCGAAAGGAATCGTTAGTGGTCGAATCGCGATGCGGTTGCCATCGCGACGGCGTGCGGCCTAGTCGAGCAGAGCGGAGCCTGGCTCCCGTTCGTTGCTGTTGCTAATTTGTTCATTTATTTACGTAGTTTTCTTTCTTTAAAGCGTTACATTTGATTTACGAGCGTGTGAAAGAGGACGGCGGAGGCGAGCGGACATGGTGGTTCTCCGAGCCAAGTGCCTGGTCGCCGGTGAGACGAGCAGTGGTCTTCAACGTAATGCTATATATGTACATATGTGGCGACGTTTCGGGCAATGGGCCTTCTTAATAGCTATCAGCATCGCTGAACTTCACGCAGAGACGCAACTCTAAACCCAGTCCATTGCAGCTGCACACACGGTCTACAATATGTCCCAGGCTGACTCGCACATTATCCTGTCTATACATCGTTTTATACATCCAGCATAATTTTAAATATCCAGCAATTGTATATATCCAGCAATTGTACCCCTATCATGGTGTCATTTGAAACAACCGCCTCTGGTCCACCCCGCAGAGTCGATCTGCAGATCGCGCGTGGTGGGGTAAAGTGTGGGTACTCCCACTTATTCAAAGACGTCTGGCCATCGTGGAAGAGTAGGCCAAAATACGCCCTCCAGAGGGGGCCTCTATGGAGCTTCGTCTCGACTCTAAGCAAGCAGGGGTGGGGGACGTCCGTGTGAGGCCCGCGAAATCATTTGGTGTGGCCCTGCCAAGGCAACCGCAGGAAAAGCAGTTGCGAGTAGCAGCAACATCATCAATACCAGATAACATCATCAATACCAGATAACATCATCAATACCAGATAACATCATCAATACCAGCTCACATCATCAATACCAGATAACATCATCAATACCAGATAACATCATCAATACCAGAAAACATCATCAATACCAGCTCACATCATCAATACCAGATAACATCATCAATACCAGCTCACATCATCAATACCAGATAACATCATCAATGCCAGCTAACATCATCAATACCAGCTCACATCATCAATACCAGATAACATCATCAATACCAGATAACATCATCAATACCAGCTCAAATCATCAATACCAGATAACATCATCAATACCAGATAACATCATCACACGCCTCGCCAAAGAGACGCAGTTTCAGCCATCGCATTAGGGGTGAGTTAATTAAATGTTTGACCAAATATAACAGGCAAATTTTTAAGTTGATCATTTTGTATGGCCCGCGAATGATGTTATAAATATCCAAATGGCCCTCGGCAGAAAAAAGGTTCCCTACGTCTAGAGCAGCGGTCGGGAACCTATGGCTCGCGAGCCATATATGGCTCTTCTAGTGACGGCATATGGCTCCCAGACAATTTTGAGTTGAAAAAAAAAAATCAGTTTGGAACTGATTTTAAAATACTTGTGATATTGCTTAATAATACTGTGTCATTTTAAAGTAAACAGAAATTATTTTTGAAGATACATTTCACGGGTCACGCCTGCATGAAGCTCAACCTCACCACGTATGAACCAGACTACAAGGCCATCAGCAAAATCACGCAGCACCAGAAGTCGCATTAAAATTAAGACATCTAATTTATTATACGTTAAAAATACTATATGGCTCTCAATGAAATATGTTTAAAAATATTTGGCTTTTATGGCTCTCCCAGTCAAAAAGGTTCCCGACCCCTGGTCTAGAGCATGGGGTCAGCGACCTGCGGCTCATGAAGGACCGTCGCTTATTAGCATGTAATGCGGCTCTTGAAATATTGCATTTTTGTTACAGAGTTCTTATTGTTACAGGTAGTCCCCGACTTACGATGGAGATGCGTTACGACGACCCCATCGTAAGTCGAAAATATCGTAAGTCGAAGATGGCCTCGCCTACCCAGGAGTCTTAAAGAATGGTGATAATTTAGCAAAACAGAGAAATTTACAGTACTGTACTGTATAAACTATATGCGTACAGTACATCCCGGCAGCGTCCCAACGTACAGTATCGTACCTCGTACGCTGCTGCGTTTGCCTGCCGCGCGAAATGTAAAATATTTTACAATTTTGTCATTTCGCCATCGTAAGATCGAAATATCGTAAGTCGGACCATCGGAAGTCGGGGACTATCTGTATTTTGGTTGCCGACCCCTGGTTTGAGTGGAAGCCCTTCCGCCAGCCAGTGGTGTGAATATCCAATTGCACATAGCTCCACCGTTACCTAGGGGCTTAAGGAGTCGTATCCAAAGATTAATCCATCCATTCTGGTGTCCAACTCTGCTTCATGTCACAGAAAATAGCCCAGAGAAGCGGACATCAAAGAACTACATCTTGCCATCATCCCTGCTCTGTTAAGAGTAATAATTATCATATGACACAGCATTTGTCATTCTGAGAGCTGGAATTAAGCCACGTTTAAGTGCAGAACTTAATTTAACGTCAGAGGGTTATTATTTTTTTTTGCACAGGCATTGGTGACCGGACATAAACAATTAATTCACTGCACTCCTCTTAACTCTAAAATCGAGGGACACAGCCGAGGTGTTTTTGCTACATGATACAACACCTACGCTATGTGTCTTTAAGTAAAAGAAAGTGCTTACCTGATCATAACTGCATAGATAAGGAGGTAGTGGAAATCTCGCACTTCCATGGCAGGAGCGAGTTGAAAGCGTAGGATAACCACTGTTGACCAGTCACACCTGATTCGCAAGGTTGGCTATGTACGGTGCGAAAGAAGTTCAGCATATAGACAAACATCACAAAGTGGTAATATGTCTGCTACAAATAGATAATAATTGGCTTCCAATTATTAAGCCAGCAGTCAATGCAGCGGAATTCTCGGCTGGATTAAAAAAGAAGGTTTTTACCCATTTACATGCCCCAATTATAAACGATAAAAAATTATATCAATTTTGTAACTAGGTCAACGCCCATTATGATTCAGAAGCTCGTTTTCATGGAAGATCTGGCTCAACTATTGAAAACAACAATTATAAATTACAGCAGCAATTATTAAAAAGACAGGAAATTAACACGTCTAGTGTAAAAAGTACAATATCAAACTTGACTGCAAGACAGAAAACAAGAATGAATTAAACGTGAAACAAGGATTGATTGAAATCAATTTGAAGTTAAATTCAAGTATAGATCACCTACAGTCAAACAAGATACAATTGCAAAGCTTCAAGGTGAACACATGGCTCTAATAAGACTGGCAGACACACAAACCCATTATCGGGTTTTTGAAGTTTTCTTGTTTTCACACTGGGTTTCAAATCAGCGTTTTGACTCGAATAAGCGTTCTGAGTAAAGGAGATTTCGAAAATAAGTAGAATGGATTTCAAATTTTAAATGTACCTCATCGGTAGCCATAATCTATCCGCTGCTGAATGAAGACCGACCCAAGCCATCTCCATCTCTCAGTTTCCCACTGGGATATGATGTCCTGTGTCCTGAGTTCCTAAAGAACCTCGGCCTAATGACAACGATGGCTTGTAAATGTCTTCACCATCGTACAGAGGACAGGCGCAATCCCGAAGTTATGGAAGCAAGCCAAAGTCATCTGGCATTCTGAAACCCAATAAGAGGGAGAGTGTTCTGTGACTAATCTCCTTTGGCCAATCTCCCTCTTGTCCTCCGCTTCAAAACTGATGGAACATGCCATACTTTCCAGACATTCCCCCATTATTGACCCCCAACTGCCTCCAGAATAAGCTGGATTAGAAACTGGCCGTGGATGCTGCAAATAGATGGTTTCCTTCACCACCCTCATAGAAGCTGGTTTCCAGCATCAACAAAAAACCGGGACATATATGGTTGACCTCTCTGCTGCCGATGACACCGTTTGGCATCATATCATGCTGCTGAAGACCGCCCAAATCATCAGAGCCGTTCCACGTTTCACCTTATCGTTGCAATGCTCAGCAACCGTACTTTCAGGGTACACCTCGCTGGTAAACAGTGGCCACCCTCAAGGCTTGGTACTAGCACCATAGCTAACACGTGTGTAGTGGCGTAATGCACGGGGTTAGCAAAAGGGTGAGGTGACACTGGAGTGGCGAGGCAGCAATTAGGGGGTGAAGCATGGATGGAGAGAGTCCAACTGAGGTCGCGCGGGTGCAAGCGTGGAGACATGGATTAGACGCCAGAGAATCGGCAGCAATTAGGGGGTGAAGCATTGATTGAGCGGGTGCATTTGGGGACGAGCAGGTGTGCGCGTTGGGGCACGGGGTAGGCGCCGGAGAGGCGGGAGATGGAGGCGATAAGAGAGAGAGAGAGCGCGTAGAGGCGCCAGCTTAATGGGGGGTAAGTGAGGACCCCAAATAAGGAGGGATATAAGGGAGTGTGTGGAGCAGTACGGAGAGTTGATTGGTTGGTGCTCAAGGGATGAAGGAGACAAGAGTCTGGGAGAAGACGCCTGGGACCTCGCCCTCCTCGCCTTGTCCTCCCCAGCAGTGTTGGCTAATCCCCTGCTGTGGGTAGGGACGAGGGCGGAGGTACCTGTCGAAGAAGAATGCTGTCCAGCTGTCTTTGGACAGATTTCTTTTTTATTCTGCAATCAAGCCAGACTGTCTGGAGAAGACATTGGAAGAGAGCCAGCTACTCCATCACTGCTCACCCCAAGAGGCCTCGATCAGAAAGCACTCCAACCATCTCTGATACGTTTTGTATAATTATTTTTTTTTATTATTAGTTAAAATGTATTGAACTTATAATCATATGCATTTTTGTACACATCATGATATTTAATCACATTTTTTTCCAGAAACATATATTTGGCATATTATAGCTAGCTTTAAGCAAGTTTGAGTTAAGTAGCATTTCCCGGGAACGCATCCGTTATACGTATATCAGCGGATTCCTGTAGATGTACAATTAAATAACGCAAAGTGCATCATAAATGGAACACTGAAACGGGCACCAATGCCTGATTCCTTATTCTGGCAGGCATATCCAGAGAGATATGCAAACTGCAAAGGAGTTTCCATTTTTTTTTGTAAAAACAAACTACACATCAACCAAGACCTCAAAAATGTATTTTACCGCCGACTCAAGTGCCGATCCCCCGTCTGGAAGAACGCTGGCAAACAGAGTGGAACAACGTGGACATCCAGAATGAACACCTCATTTGAGACCCAAACCTCACATCTCCTGGTTTAGACATTTCTCAAAGTCACTTGGTGTAACATCAATTGCATCAGGGGACAGGCCAATGCACACATCTCCTTCAAAAATGGAAAATTGAAGACAAGCCACAGAAGGGCGATTGTGACCATGTAACCCAAAGCTATGGACCATATAGAAAACCACTGTATTCTGCGCTCATTCAATGGAGGAATAGCAAAAATACACGAACTGCCTCCTGAAGCCCTCTCGCGGCAAGCAGACCTCGACATTGGCATTTAGCTTCTGAACATTTTGCCATATTCAAGAATAGAAACCGAGCCCACTTACTCAGATGTATGAACCTGTTTTGAAATAAATGCCATGCAAGACTGGGACGTTTATTTTCTTTTTCCTATAAATGCATTTGGAACTCTCAGGAGGAGAAATTTGTTTTTTTCTTCTTCATATAAATGGGTTTTTTTTTATTGGAAACCCAGCATTTTCCATGGATGAATGGCATTTTGCGGGTGTAAAATTCGTACACTATTGACTCGGGCATTTAATGATTAATCAATCCGTCAATTTTTACGTTTGCCGGACGTGCATCAAGTCATGCCTGAGAGAATCTATTTTTGTAAATTTCTCTTTTTCTTTGTCTGGCCGATTGTCGAATGGGCAATACAAACAAACAAGTCTGTATAAGTGAGGCTGCACAAAAACAGAATACCAAGGAGACAGGCACTTTTTTATTTTTAGTGACTTGCTTATCTTTCCTATACTCTGGAATCCTGTCGTTTTTTGTATTGTTTCTGTAACTTTCTGATCCGCCCCGACAGAATATCTGTGAAAAAAAGAGCTTCATAGCTCATCTGATTCCTCCAAGATAAATATTTAGATTCTGAACCAAAATAGTACAGTTCAGATTAAACAATTGACACAAAACAATAGAAACATTTCAAGAAGAAGACAGTCAAGATTCTACAGTACATTCGAGACAGTAGAAATGAGGTAATGTAGATGCAACCTGTGATGCAGTACAACGGTACAAACGAGAGCGTGAATTAAAGTGATGGTCTCTAGCAGGATTTACTGTGTCTCCCGACAGGTGAATCGACAGTCGGGAAAAGCGCCCTGGTTCAAGCTTTCCACAGCGATGCCACCCTGTTCCCCAAGAACTACAACATGGTGGAAACACACGGCAGGCACTCATTCACTTCACTTACACGCGTCACGTTGGGACTCGCGTTCGACTCACGTTCAATTCCGTCAGTCGTACCATGGCCCACTGCGTAAACTGACAAGTCACGTCGTGGCTCGTGTGTCACATTCACTTGGCGAATCGCGTGATGACTCGATGAGTCAGCATCGGGTGCGACTCTCAGTCGCGCGCTGTGGTTCGCGCTCGGTATTTTTGCGGAATCACTGCGCATGATGTGAAATGTCAGTCGCGTAACATGGGGCGCAGCTGTTCACCTTGAGCGATGCGAAATGCCATGACCATGATGATGAGTAAGTGGCCCGGCGAGTCCGAGGGCCAAGCAGTGACCGTTACATTTCAGACTGAGGTCAGCTCCTTCACCCCCACAATAATATTGGACGACGATGGGGCAGAATAGAGGGGGGGGGGGCGGGTATAACCCTAGCCCATACTCTTTTGACAGCGCAGTGAAAACACTTGGTGAAAAAATCAGACCGTTTGGACGCCTTGGCTGGTGTGAAAGAGGGACCCAGTTCCACCTCTTGCTGCAAGCATTTCTTCCTGCGTTGTGATCGATTCAGGCAGAAATGTGAGGCCTGCTCCGTGTGGTGCATGCACTTTATAATGCGGTCCAGGCTGTGCGTGTTATTCGCTTATCTACCCTGAGTCAGGCTCATGGGCTCGCATAGCGTTCTGCTGCGCGAGGAAATAATGGGGAAAAATGAACTTACTCTGTTCATTGTCACGCGAATCATCCTGGATGCACCGCATAGGGAAAGGTCAGCCCTTTTTAATGAGAATTTAATTGAATGCTGTCGATCTCGCCACTAACCGCAGTTGCCCCTGGGGCACGTGGGTGCCGTGTGGTTAATGCGGTCGGCTGGGCTATCTCCCTTTGCAGACTGTGGGAGTTGAGCTGCTCGTGAAATCTGTCGGCGTACCTGACACCACCGATAGCGTCGTACGTATTTTCATATTTTTTCTTACGCAATTCATAATTATTTTTGCTTGATTATACACCGGCAGTATATTCAACGGTTACATATTTCACCAAACTTTAATTATCCTCGTGAAAGTCTCACAATTATTTTAGTGCAGTGCGGTAATTAAATACGAATAATTGAAAGGCAGATGGTAAAAATTTGTGCTTTGCAAGTCCGGCGGCCTTTGGTAACAAAGCGGCCGTTTAGTTCACTGAAACGCTTCTCTGCATACAGCTCAGCTGAGAAGATGTTTATCTGACTGAAACCAGATTGCAGTGATAAACAAACACCTGCCCTAACAGAAGTAAATCTCCATAAATTCACAGACAGCGCTTGGTCAGCATTCTGTATTTTAAATGCCTCGTGTGCGGTGTGGTGGGTGTGCTGAATCCGTGAAGTCCCCATGCTGTGTTGGCTCCTGTCTTTTATATCGAATATATTTGGCCCTGGAATGGCAATTAGTTAATCAAACTGAGCATTGTTATTTTGTTGCCAAAAGTAAATTATCCTTATTATGCACCTATCTTAACCTGTTTATAATATAATTGGTTTTGTAAATATGTTGACTGAAAATTAAAGATGCTGAAAGCTTGCATCTGTTCATTCTATTAGTCCTCAATGGATATGTAAATATTACATTGTATACTGATATTTTTTTTAAACACTGTATTTGAATGTCCTAAGCAATAGTTGATATATTCAGGAATATTAACGTTTTCAACACTGTCATTGTTTTAGAATATCATTACTGCAAGAGCACACACATAACACACAGGTTCATATTCTATGTATAAATAAATACATATGCAACATTATTTATGAAGCAAAATGCAATATTTATTGAAGGGAAACAGATGGAGAACACATTTGAAAATATACTGTATATATCAAAGGTAATTATTGAGGATGACTCTAGGCTAAAACTTATGAAACAGGCAAGTGTAAGCAGGTTGGAGTGCTGAAAATTGAGCCGTTGTATTGACTGTTAAGGAAAGTAAGCGGGCATGATAAGGACACATCGCTAGAACGAATGAAGGCTGTTCAGACAGGACAGCGTGGCATCTAAATAAGGGAACATATCCGAGGGTACAGCGACGGCGGAGATGGAGCGATGAAATAAGCTCGTGTGCAGATGCTGATTGGATCGTTGCATTGTGAGTCCATGAGGGATGGGCGGAAACTTGGGGAGGCCTTCATCCTGCAGTCGATCGATCACGGCTGATGATAATGATGATTTCCAAAGGGTTCATTACATGTGATCAGCATGTATTCATGATAGACTGGACTTACACGAGTGCACGATAACAAATGTTCAGACTTACACAATATTGGCAATGAATGCGAATGTTGATCTGTTTTTCCGTACACTTACAGGAAATATACCTTTATGATTCAGGTGGGAAGGACATTTTTAATGACCTTGTGCAAAAAAATGTAAGTTTTTTCTTCTCACACTATTGTCTTTATTCAGTGTGCTGTGCAGTCTGCCTTAAGCCTTTACCGTGGTTAACATTAATTACAATTGCTGATCGAACTATTGGGATTGTAATTTTGAAGCCAATTTGCACACTATATTTTTACGTGCCCCACGCTGCATCATCTTGTTTTGTAGAGCAGGAATAAAAATGTGAAGTAAACTATATTATTTGACAGCACAACTGCCCCCGTCGGTATTACGTGACCTCTGCTTTCGTCGCGGTGCCAATTGTTACACGAAGTGCGATGGTGTTTGGCAGTGGGACCACCCCAGCATGCTGTGCCTGGTGTTTGATGTCACCAGCGAGCAGTCGCTCGGCAGCTGCGGCAAGTGGCTGGAGCGCGTGCGGGCACAGAGCCCTGGCGTCTCCTTCCCCGGTGAGCACGGTGAAGGACCGGCGCAGTCACGCACGCGCCGCAGCGCGTCCGTTCCTCGTGCTCGCTTGTGTCTCGTTATTTATAGCGGTTTCCAACGGAGGATGAAGAGCGTCGATGCATTTGCTTTGTTTGTAATGTGAGGTAGTGATGACTCGCAAATATGGTTCAACAGGAATTTAAGTCAAGTTTAACGTTGCATTGCCGTTTCGGCACTGATCAAACTGGCGAAATTGATTAAAGCCCAAAATTTTCAGACACAAAGCGGCCAAACCAAATAGGACTACATGGAGTCCCTGACTTAGGAACGTCCGCACTTACGAACGAGCTTCCATAAGATATTTTTTAACCATCCGACGTTGGAACGCGAACTTGCACTTGCCAATCGAACCACAGAACTATTTTGTTCAGCAGAGCGATCCTCCGTGAGATGTAATGAGTCCCAGCATCCCACTGAGAGAGAGGGTGTGTGAAAGTAAGTCCGCGTGAAAGTGACTGCGTATGTGCCGAGGGTGTGCGTGCACGTGCCCCCATATGTGTTTGGGGAGCAGTAGTGCAATGGTTAGTGCGCTGTGCTATGACCCGAGTTCGATTCTCGCTCACGACCAACACCAGTGACGATTATCTGAATGGATCCTGGGCCTCCCCTAGGTCCACTGAGCCTCAAATGAGTGCCTGGTGCGGTATGTAAACATTGCCACTGTAAGTCAAAGGCAGCCGGGCGTCGTACTGGCCACCCAGCCACTCATGTGTCATGCTGGCCTTCATAGGTGCAGCACTTGCCGCAACAGTCTGTTATGGGTATTAGGAGGATCGTTGTCATTGTTTGTGTGTGTGCGCGCGTACGCACGCACGCGTACGCATGCACGCGTGCCTCAGTGTGTGTGTGCAATTATGGAGACTCATTACACCCTTCTAACAAGCATTTCCGATAGAGTATTACAGTATTAAATGGAAATGTACAAATATTTTTTCGTTTGAGTTTAACAATGCTTCGATTTTTTTGTTGAACCATAACACATTTTTAACACTGACCATATGGACATTTAAATACAGTACATTATTCTGTCCCGACTTACAGACCGTTAGCCCTATTGGGCAGGTCTTAGGAATGGAACCAGTTTGTAAGTCAGGGACTGCACGTATTTTCAAATATGCAGTTGTATTTTTCCCTGACAGCTATCCCCATCGGCTTCTGTACTTCTTAGGACAAACGCATGTTGAAAAGTATTATAATCGGTATTTATGCTCAGTTTTTCTTCCTTGTTTTTCCGTAATTTTTTCCACATTTTTATCCCCAAGTCACCACTACCTCCGTTCCCCTCCTCAGTACCACCACCACCACCACATCTCAACAGAAATGCTTAAGGGTCATAGAAGCAAATTATGCCCCACATCAAGGAGAATGGCGTAATGCACAGTGGAATCAAGCGAGAATTTTCTTTCAATGAGTTAATTAGTTCTATCCTGATTGTGCTCTCGGCATCACGTCCTGGAACAAAGTATCCATTCGGACCTCTCGTAGAACAGCGCGACTCTTCATGCTAGAGGGGTCCATGGAATTGGATATTACAGAGCTACCTGGGACCATTTCAAGTGACCTCTTCAACGCAGTAGAGGTCAACACTATCTCACCCACTCTGCCATATGAGCGTAATGTTTCGTCACATCATAGTATAAATGATGTTTAATCCTCGGAGCTGGAATTTAGATTGTCTGCAAAACCACATTTAAATAGCGTGCGTTTTTTTTGGTGTGTGCTGCAATTGGTAACCCAGCTGAGACCACCAATTCCTTTCATTTGAAAACTTGCTTTAATCACAGGCAGCAACCTGGTTTCGAACCCAGTATCTCATCGGCGCAGGCTTGGCGCTCTGACCTCCGTATCACCTGGCCACCACCTCTTTCACTCTGTTTATTTCACCCCACTGGCACGGGATTTCTCTTTTCATTTTCCCTGGCAGGGTTTCTCAGTGACTGGATGACAAGCGTTGCCCCAAGTGTCAGCCTTTGCAAATGCAATACTCCAAACAATTTGATTGAAGAAGGGTGATGGCATGTCAGTTTACTCGCATGACAAATTTGAATCCACAGGGCAGTTCTTTTTCTCCTGAGGCTTGTCCAAGGCTGTTACGCCTCTGACAATGCCTGATGCATTGGCAGTACCGTGTGGGAGAGGATAAATTATAGCATGCACGTGTGTGTGCGTTTGTGTGGTATGGAGAGCGGTAGTGCAGCGGTTAGCACACTTTGATTTTCTAACCCGGCCACCCGAGTTTGACTCCCGCTCATGATCAGTAACAGTGGCGAATATTTGAACGGGTACCGAGCATTGGCAAGACAAAGGCAGCTGGGCGTGGTGTTTGCCACCCACCCATTGATCTGCCGCTTTCAGCCTTCATATGTGCTTCAGTACTTGCCCCAACATTCTGTGAAGGGCTCTACTAGGGATGTTTGTCTTTTGGTTTCAGGAGTCCTTGTAGGTAACAAAGTTGACCTGGGGCCACGGAGAGTGGTCTCTGCGGCTCAGGGACAGGAGTTTGCCACTGCCAATGGGCTCGAGTACTTCGAAACCTCTGCTGTAAGTAATCAACGCTTGACTTTGAACTCTGCGATGTGTTATTGGGTCGTACCGTGTGTTGTTTGGCGTGACGTGCGGGGAGCTTCTCCAGGATGAGATCCATTTCTCCCTCGAGCGAACTGTGCTTATTCGGTTGCCGAAGAAGCCTCCCAGCACTGAATTCAGTTACTAAAGGAGGCTCCTAGCTCGTGGAGCGAACGGTCGGTCATCGTGCAAAACGAAAAGCGGTACAGCCTGAAAAAGCACCGGCGAGCACCTGTGAAGGCCAACACAGCACACCAGGGGGTGTTTGGCCAGCACCACGGCACAACCGTGAACATCTGCACAGTCACGCTTGGTGTTTTAATTCCGTTGTTTATAAATAATGAGAATTTTTACAGTTGCATTGGCACATTGTATTCTCTTATTCAATGAAAATGTCACGTAAAAAAACCAAATGCTTTTGTGTTAGATTAAATGTTAAAACTGTAGGCAGTGGGTGCCATTATAAATTTTAAATAGTGTTCATATAAATTATTCATGGGTGTCAATTGCCTCTCACTCCCCCGGCCCGACCCCACCACTGCGCCCCTCCCTCGGGAATTCAGAAGGAGATGGAGAACATCGACACTCCGTTCCTCTTCCTGGCAAAAGCCTTCCACAGGCTCTACGTGGACAAAACAGACTTCATCAAATCCTTGGTGTGATGTGTCCTAAAATGTGTGTCTTGTTTAAAAATAAATGATGATTAAAAAAAAGGTATGTTTTACTTGATAATTGTTTTTTTACCCTTTTATCTGGCAACAAAACTGACACCTTTTTTTTACAAGGAGTCATGTTTGCATAGACCACAATACCTGCAGTCATAATGCAAACAAAAAACATAACTCTGATAATGTATGTACTGTCCTTGAAGTTGATTGGTCCATACCCGAGACAGCTTTCCTTAGATCCTAGTCTCACATGGTGTTAGACCAGATAACGCCAAAAGGCGCACAACTCTGTAAAACTATGTTTTACTTGTCAGTGAACAAATTCTTGAAAATATTTTGCTACGATTTCATAACGTAAATAGTCCCATGGGCCTATTTACTGATTTATTTACACCACGAGTAAGAGTGAATTACCCGATAAGTCCACTCATTTGAAATGGTTATTTCACGAGTCACTTATTGGCCGCATAGATAAATTTGAACCGCTTAAGTGATGCCACCCCAGGTGGTACCGACAAAGTGAAATATCTGGTGTGTGTGCTCATGAGCTAGAAGCCCTTTATCATGAAGAACAAAAGCCTCCACGTGCCCTTGCTTCACCAGACTTCGCCATGATGGTCAGTGCGGGTTGGTGAAGGAAGTGTCCAGGACCTGTTCAGTTAATCGCTCGCCACTGGTGTTGGCAGCTGTGGCCTGGAATTGAATGCAAATCACGAAATTCACACCTCAATGCACGAACCGCTAATGCCACGGCTCTACCCGGCTATGGTTTATGTTCATGTACAGCATGTTGCGTGGGCTGTTGACTGGCTGCTCGGAAGGGACCGTCGTACTAAATGTTGATTGTGTTTGGCTTCTTTCAACAAAAAATCGCATGGCGCTACGGAATTATTGATTAAGTGTTTTGTCAAGTTCCCCGAGAATGTGGCAACGTGAATTAATGTTTCTCTCAATCAACTGAACGCAACAGCAGCGTGGTACCGTGCTTGTAAATAAATCGTTAATGTCATTAAAGATGACCTTGTGATTTATTTGTGTTAAACTGCTATCTCAACATTGAGTGTTCCTTCTGAAATGAATTAATAACTACGTTGGTTTAAAGAGGAACCGTCTGTTAGGCATTCGCATATAATGAAACGATGTGCCAAGAATGGATTAATCAATTAGTCTAAGGGCAAATGCGTTAATAGCTTTTGGGCCCTCACATCTTAATGAAATCTGGTGTGAGCAGCATGGTGTGAGGGACAATTTTGCGAAGAAGGTGAATCGATGTAACTTGACCAAGTGATGGTAAATGCGTTTGACTTATTTTGCAAAAAAGAAAACCCCTGATAAGCCAAGAGAGGGCATGACTGATGAACCCTAATTTAAATGAGATAATGGCTCGCGAGTGTCAAGTTTCCTCATCTGGCTCCTCCTACCCGCGCACCAGGGATTATATATACAGTATTTTTTTAAAGTGAGATTTCAAGGCCGCAAGGCCCAGGTCTGCTGCTACCATAGTGAAACGTGATTTTCTGCTTAAATGAGCATGGAGCCAGGCTGTGCTCACCTCCTGTTTCCGGGCCCCGAAGCCGCTTGTAGGAAATCCCACATGGTGGAGGCGAGTCTCGCCATAGTACAACCTCTGATGACTTCGCAAACAAAGTGGTACTCGTTATATCAAACCCATCGAGGGATTGGTGAGCCGAGTCAACCCCTCCGACGAAGATTTGAGCTCATAACCGTTCCGATTGTGAGCCACTCTCTCTCTGTACCGCTGAGCCACCAACGTGACATCTGACACTGTCTGCGCGCAAGCTGTGAGTGAGGGCATCTGCTCCCCACCTGAAGACAACTGTACATGCACCCCCTTGGCTCCTTCAAATATTCCCACGTGACGAGCACAAGCCGGCTCTCTTCACCGTGGTTCCATAACAAACATCACAAACTCCCTTCCGCCAATGGCCACTTTCATTAACAATGTTGGCTACTTGCGGTGCAAAAGAAGTGCCACGTACATGCACCTGCACAGCCCTATCAGTCTACTGCTGCGTGAGGGCCTCCCTACACCTCTGCGGGTTGTGGTTATTCGAGCACGCTTTACCACACCATTCATTGTCGGTATGTGAAGGTGGCTCTCATAGGACGTTGGGAGCACAGTACCCAACAGCAGTGGATTTTTTTGCTGCACTGCCCTTCTCAACAGCCTATACAGGACCTGATGTACGCATGGTTACCGACCATTAAGGAGGACTCTCCAGGCTCCAAAAATAACCGGCTTAGCTTTCGAGATCTGACAACGCCGGGCGCATGCCCTGGTGATTTGGTCACAGGCAGTACGTATTCGCCAAGATCACATTTCCTGGAGATCGCGCAGATAGAGGAAACTGATGCTGCGCAGGGGTTGCTGGTGACTGCTGGTGACTTTGCCGGTGACTTTGCTGGTGACTTTGCTGGTGACTTTGTTGGTGACTTGGCTGGTGACTTTGCCGGTGACTTTGCTGGTGACTTTGTTGGTGACTTTGGTGGTGACTTTGCTGGTGACTTTGCTGGTGACTTTGTTGGTGACTTTGTCGGTGACTTTGCTGGTGACTTTGTTGGTGACTTTGTTGGTGACTTTCTTGGTGACTTTGTTGGTGACTTTGTTGGTGACTTTGCCAGTGACTTTGCCGGTGACTTTGCTGGTGACTTTGTTGGTGACTTTGCCGGTGACTTTGTTGGTGACTTTGTTGATGACTTTGCCGGTGACTTTGCCGGTGGCTTTGTTGGTGACTTGGCTGGCGACTTTGTCGGCGACTTTGCCGGTGACTTTGTTGGTGACTTTGCCAGTAACTTTCCTGGTGACTTTGTTGGTGACTTTGTTGGTGACTTTGCTGGTGACTTTGTTGGTGAATTTGCTGGTGACTTTGCCGGTGACTTTGTTGGTGACTTTGTTGGTGACTTTGCCGGTGACTTTGTTGGTGACTTTGTTGGTGACTTTGCTGGTAACTTTGTTGGTGACTTTGTTGGTGACTTTGGTGGTGACTTTGTTGGTGACTTTGCTTGTGACTTTGTTGGTGACTTTGTTGGTGACTTTGCTGGTGATTTTTGCCGGTGACTTTGCCGGTGATTTTGTTGGTGACTTTGCCGGTGACTTTGTTGGTGACTTCGCCGGTGACTTTGTCGGTGACTTTGCTGGTCACTTTGTTGGTGACTTGCTGGTGACTTTGCTGGTGACCTGGCGGGGGTGGTGGTGGGGGGTCAACGTCTGCCCACCAGGTGTGAGGGCCGAATGGGTCCTCTTCCTCTACTCTACTCCTTCCCCTCGCTCGCTACGTTAAATGGCTGCCGCCGGTTTGCCCGTTGCCTTTGCTTCGAATTCCCGTGCGGTTTTTTGACAGACGTCGGCGGAGCAGCGGGAAAGATCATTAACGCCGTGATGCGCGCTGCGGCCAGCTCTCCACGTGCGCTCCAAGAACCCCTGCCACCCCCTCCCCCCGCTACCCTCCACCCCCCACCACCCCCTCCCCCCGCTACCCTCCTCCCCCCGCCACCCCCTCCCCCCGCCACTTCCCTTCCCCCCGCCACCCCTCCCCCCGCCACTCCCTTTCCCTTCCCAACACCCCTCCCCCCGCCTCCCCCCGCACCCCTCCTCCCCCCGCCGTTCTCCCCCAGCCACCCCCTCCCCCCGCCACCCCACTCCCCCCGCCCCCCCACACCCCCTCCCCCCGCCACCCCCCCCCCTCCCCCCTCTCGTCACGTGCGTTCCCCAGAGAGATGCTCCATTTCTCAAGACGGCTTTATTTCGTCCCGCATGCCCGGATAGCAGCTTACGGTGATTAAGGTTGCGGAAGAAAAAACATCGTTGAATATGTTTTATTTAAAGAAGGGGGAAAAGGTGAAGGCGCAGCCCTGCAATTGCTCACTCACAACGCTTTTGGAGAACGACCTCTTGAAAGAGGTGCTGATTTACCCACGCTTTGCCCCACCGTCTGCTGGTCGACCTGCTGCTGGTCGACTTCACGAAAGAGCCTGTCAAGAGCAGCGGTTTGCAAGACCGTGGGAAGTTGTCTGCGGAACTGTTGCAGAGACTGCGATTTAAAGTATGAAACAACTAAAATGCGCCATGAGGAAGTGCCATTGCCCGAAATGTCGCCTATTGTATTTTTTCCGTTTAATGCCACGGCGTTATTGATGATCACGTTGCGTGTTTCATTATCTGTGCGTGTGAACCACCGTCAATGGCGTATCACCACCAGATATCATTTATTTTATTTAGAGTTCAGGTGGTTTAAACAACACAAATATATAAAATTTATCACAGACCCCCCCCCCCTTGCTTTGACCTGCCCAAACCCGGTCACGGACGCTGCCCAGCAGGTTCCGTACGGTCCAGGGTCCGTGTGCAGCCAACCACCGCACCTGGAGCCAACGTGGCCACAGCCCTCTCGGTGGATGTGTCCAGCGACAGGCCCCGTGCCATCTCGCATTGTCGACGAGTGTGCCCCGAGCCGACTCGCCGGTGGTCTCGGGCCCCCCCTCCCTCTACCCCGCTGATTTAGCGGCTGTCACCCAGTTACGCAAGAAGGGCACGGGGTAGTCATCATAATATCATACATTTTGACATATCAAGAAATGATTGATGCGTGGTGGTCCGGGAGAAACAGTTTCAGAGTTGACAGTCGTCCACGTGTCAATTAAGACTGGGAACAGCTGCTCGAGATGGGACCTGTGCCTACTCTTCCACGCCAGCCAGAGACCTTGGAAGCGGTGAGAATACCCACACTTTGAACAATTCAATTCGTCTTTCGCGTTTTATTAGTACGGCCTATTTAATAATTCACAGCGTATTGTCAAGACAGGAGCGTTCTGCAGAATGACATTTCTGTGATTAAAAAAACCCACAGACATGATGGGTTTGTGTCGCAGAGGTTGTGGTTGGCTGCAGGGCCTGGGAAATGAAAACAGGAGGCAGCAATGGGATCAGGCAGGAGTGGCATGCTGACTAATCCAACGCTTGGTCGGGCATCCTCTGCATGTGCCAGATTTCACTTTTTCTGTACTTGTCCTTGTTTTTATTTTTTGCCTGGGGGCATGAAATCCTCGCACCAAACCAATGGTAACGTTGCCTCCACCGCGCTCTGCACACAGCAACACAGACCCGTGCCGAAGTAACCCAGAACGCGCCCAGAGCTCATCGTGTCTCGAAAGCCAAGCATGGCAATGCCCGGATGGGTGACCAGCATTCGCAAGTCGGGTGTTTATGGGCTGCTATACCGACCCGTGTTGTTGTTGGCAGCCGAGGGCAGTCGGTGCAGCGAAATGCAGTGTAGAGTGCGTCTACGCTGTCACAGCGATGCTCCCTCGCCGTCACCAACCCGCACTGACCAGCGTAGTGAAGTATGGTAAAAAAAAACACGACCCAGAAGGGCGTAGGGTAGCCCTCACCCAGCAATTAGATTCGCAAATGGCCTTAAATTGTTAGTTTTTTTATATACATATACAAGTATGTTTTGTGTTTATTTACAAAGCAAACAAACGGTCCCTTGGTTGGGTTGTGGCTTATAAATCTGTATTTAAAAAAAACGGGTTGCTTTAAAACATTGCGTTTTAGGTTTGATGTAATGTGGAGTTATACCCACAGGACTCTGGGAGCCGGGCACTAATGTTCCGTCTTGGCAACGAGGTTCCCTTACTCCCCGTGGGTCGCACACAGCGGTAATGGGATCTTGGCAGGACGCTTGGGTTGACAGGGCCCTTATTATTTAAACGCCGTGCCAAGACAACGGGGTACACTAATAATGGGGTGACGCATCTCAATTCCGGTGATGTGTGTGTGTCTGTCTGTGTGTGTGTCTGTCTGTGTGTGTGTGTGTCTGTGTGTGTGTCTGTGTGTGTGTCTGTGTGTGTCTGTGTGGGGGGGGGGCGGTAGTGTAGCGGTGAGCGCGCCGTGCTACGAACCCGGCAAACCGAGTTCGATTCCCGCTCACGGGCACCACCAGTGACGATTATCTGAACCAGTCCCCGGGCTCCCCTAGGTTGACTCAGCCTCA